TTGGCATATTGTGCAGCCGCAACAGGAAAGGACATTCGTATTTTGTATAAAGTGCAGCGTTTATGTGCAACGAATTTTTACCTCAGTCTCTTAACAAAACACAAATGGTCATCTTTTTATATGGCCTTTTGTGTTTTCTCTGCTCCACCTGCTTGCAATTTGTTCATCGGCGCTGGAAGTGGCAAAATATGCATGAATGATTGAATAATTTTAATTTTAGAGATATGACCAGAATTGATAATTAAGTTTTTCAATTTTAAATTTTTTATTGAACTAGCTGTTATTTGAATATTGATTTTGGATTTTTCTCAAAAAAATTGAATGTTACTACAACATTCACTTAAAATTTATAATAAAATCAAATTTAGACATTTCTTTTTTCTGTGCACATCATCTTAATTCGAAAATATATTTTGTTTCTATTTTACAAATACGTTTTGCGGTAGAGCTGAACAGATTGACAAATTCAGTCGCCCTGCTCCCCACACAAACGAATTTGGCCAAGACTACAGAAACAGATGTGTATATCTGAGAGTTTATTTACTTTCCAGCGGCGCGACAAAGAGCGATTTGGCCGCCGCTTCGCGAGAGAGATGCATTTTTCCGTCGACGCGGTGTGGCAATTCAATAACAAAACAATAATGGCCATTTCAGCTTCATTTCCAGCGTTCATAACCGGCCGAGAAAATCCCACACAAGAGTGACGTGCGAGTCACGTGGGCCGCGGAACAGGAGCGAGTCCAAATAAGGCGACTATACATGTAATCTACTCCTTCGCACATTCGCTCGCAGCCGCGCTGCCTTTTGTACTCTCTCGACGACGGTAATAAATGCAAGCACATGGTTATTTCCATCGCTGTTAAATGCAGAAAACGGCTCTCTGATGCAGCCGCAGAGTGTTTGCTCTATTTTGAAATCCTTTGAGGAAAGCGCAGCGAGCGACGACAGTCAATTTAGAAAATTGATAAATTTGAATTTTAAATTTTGATGTTGAATGATGATTGATTTGAGAGTTAAATGTTAAAATAGTGCTTCCTTTTACAAATCTAACATGAAAGCAGGAATTTTTTGCATGATCTTTTTATTATAAAAACCTTTAAATTTAGGTATTAAAATAAGGAAGTTTTAAATAATTTCAATAAATATTTAGTTTTAATTTAACTTTATTGATTATGATTTACCATAAGGTAATCCCTGACTTAACTAGATACATCATCAAAATATTTAAGAATTATTAATGAAATCTGCAGCAAAATTTGATAGGAAAAAATGCACAAAAATGGCTTAAAAAAAATGATTTAAAAAAATACTAAAATGTCTTTAATACTTAAAATCGAAAAAGAATTCAATTTTATTTAACTTAATATTTTTTTATCAGACAGTAAAAATATTTTTAAGAAAATTGTGTAAACAAAAAGGAATTAAATTATTTAAAGAAGAATATTAACAGTTTCTCTTTGCATGTTTTCACTGGCAGCTAATTTACTATGCACAGAGCTTATAAGGGCAGTCCCAGCAATAACATAATGCTCCATAATATAGCACAATACATTATCTCATTGTCAGTGCAGCTCATTGTGTTTCGCCGCAAATTCCCCTGGTCGCCGGCGGGCGGACGTAATAGATTGTTATTGAATTATTGCGTGCGGCTTTTGCGAACAAGTACGATATACACAAAAGATTGAGAGCTGCATTTTGTATTTTCATTGAATCGGCACATGCACTTGGCGTGTTATTACTCTTTAACAGCAAATTTTCCGTCTCGGTTGTTCCTTTGTTCGAATTATAAAATGCACTGCCGCCTCTGCAAGCATCATCGGCAGGTGTAGGAAAAGGCCCTTCTTTGGTGCGCGCACTTTGGCCTGAAACGAGCCGAGGCGCCCACGCCCATGTGTGGTTCAATGACCACATCGATTTTTCTTGGCCGCTGATAAATGATTTCAGGAAATCGGCCTGTTTGCCGAGCGCAAATTGAGATTTATGAAGCGTTGCAAGTGTTCAAATTCCCTCAATTGCCAACATAATGCCAATTCATGCTTTTGGCTGGTGCTCATTTTAAGACTTTCTTGGCCAGAAAATTTAGATACTTAAGAATTCAGATTAACTTGAATTTTTATTTTATTTTATGGAAATTCTCCTTGAAGAAATCAGCACTCATAAGGAGACAATATGAAAGTGAAAAAAAACTTTTCTTAGTCAAAAAGTTTGAAAAAGACATTTTTTAACAAGGACAAAGCCCGTTTTCTTAATTCAATTCCAAGAAATTTTCCCTTTTCAGTAATATTGAAATGTGATCATTATTACTATTTTTTACTCTATACGTTTTCCTTTAAGAGAATGGGACAATGAGACATTTTTCACAGCGCTCATTTGAATACGTTTATCGGTTTTAGCAGACAATAATCTGGCACCACACATTTATTCCGAGACCTTTGCTCTCTCTGCGGAGAGTAAATTAAGTGCAACTTCAAACGCCTATTTAAAAATTCCGCGTCTCCCTTTTGGCGAAATTTATCCTGCTTATTCTTTCTTGGGTGCTGTCGTCACCTCTTGTCCCTGCAGAAACAAAGAGACCTTTTCTCGGTCCCCTCGTCTTTCGATGAAAATCAAGTTCGTCTATCAAAATTTATTAACACATTGTCATGCAAATTAATCCAACGGCGCGACGAGCATTTTTGTTCGCCGCTACTTTTTCTTGTCGCGACGACGGCGGCGGCTCTTTAAATTCCGTGTGATCTTTTTTTACCAACTTTTGCTACTTCCTTTTTTCCTTGCTAAACATTTTTGTCTTTCGTGAGGCTATTTTAAGCCATTCATCAGCGGGAAGAGTAAAAACTCAAAAGGGGAAAGCAAAGGCAATTCTAATATATTTCGCGCTTATACCAAAATGCAAAATATTCGCGAGCGGTTTTTTTTGTGGCGTTCCTAGAATTGTTTTATCTGACGCAGCGTATCTTTCCTCAAACGATCCGTGGTGATTTTAGTGATTCAGATGTAGAACATGCACGGTTCTAGGACTGCATGAATATTTCATAAGAAGTGTCGAAATAGCTTTGCTGAATTAATTTGATAATTTTTATTGCCAAAAAGTTTTACGAGTTTTGAGAATGGAATTTTTTGAGGAAAAGAATGCGGCTTTTATACTTGCAGATGTTTTTATAATGACATTTAAGGAGCACTTCAAGAAATCTTATCTAATTTTTCCTTTTAAAGCATTAATGCCTCCTTAAAACTTTAATATTTTTTTTTTTTTTTTTTTTTTTAAATGCATATCTAGAAGTAAATATTATGCAGAGAATGAAAATTTATAAACATGCAGCAATAACAGTTAAAAAATTTAAAAAAATCACTGAAGCAAAACATTGTTTTTCTTGTCCTCCTTTTGAACAAAAAAACATGATATTAACTGAAAATCAGTTCAATATTTCTTCCAGTTAAAAAATATTAGGCGAGCAAATGCCAACTGAAATGCTTTTGGCTATTCAACAACTGCTTTCTCTATCATGGAAGGATTAAAATTGATCTACTTCCAATGAGTTAGTGACAGAGACAAATTTTAACAAAGCCCATAATCCAATCTCGGGAGAGAAGAATACCAATATAATAAATCTTACATGCAGTCCACTGCCGCGACCGAAGCAGATGTAATTTCTCATAGCAATGAAATTCCTGCGAGTGCTTGAAAAGCACGCGTGTATTATCTCTCATTCCTACATGACCAGCAAGTCATTAGTTATAAGCTGTCATGTCTTTTGTAATTGACCCGTGCGCACCTCCTCTCCAGTAATACAAAATTATTCGCTTCCTTTCATACACCACGCGTTGTCAATCGCCGATGGCCAAGTTGACAGCAAACGCATATAAAAAGGGGATATTCATATTCATCTCACTTATTCATATTCTCTCGCAGAGTTTTTTCCCGTTGAGTGATAAGGTCAGCGAGGAGGGAAGAGAAGCGCAAAAGCGGTCGACGTGCTGTCGTCTGCGGCCACAGGCACATTATTTATTAAATGCTCAAGTTGCGATTGCAATACAATGCCCGTCCCAAATTCTCAGCGCAGAATTGGGCGGACAAAGAGGCAGAAAAATGGCAAAGAGTGATGGTCACGATATTCCGATTCTTCCTTTTGCACTTTCATATTTATTAAAAGAGACCACCCTTGGTTTCATAAATGAAGACGTTGAACTTCGTTTTGGTGGTCCCGTTCAGGGCTTGTTGACAGTATCACGAAGTGGTTTTCTATTGAGATTTATTGAGCGTTACCACTTAAAAAGGCCATTCACTTAAACGCCACGCTGTTAAATTGGGATCGACTCCCACAAGTTTCAAAGTTTTTTAACATCCAATATATTTATTTATTTGAAAATTTCATTCATACAATTTTGAAAATTTTAATCGAGGAAAATGGGCATTTGAATGGCTCGTTAAATATGTAAATGCCTTTGGTGGCACCTCCTTCTCAAAACAAATATCAATCCACCCATCGATAACGGGGCATTGTTTCTCGCTTATTTGATTCCAGAATCGCCGTCGCGCTTTGTTGATTTTCGAAGAGCATAGGGAACATAAGAGAGAAATGAAATACGCATACTCTCTCCACACGTTACTCACTCACCAAACTCTCTTTCTCTGTGTCATGGGCCCAAACTTCATTAGAATATACACAGCAGAGAGAGACGCACGCCCTGTACAAATAAATGATTTGCGGTTTATTGTGTGACACAAGGTCGCCGGTGAACATTCATGCGTGAATTTTCAGGCAGCACAATGACGCAGGTCTTAATGAGATACACAATTGAAATTAGTCGCGGTTCAAAATTATGAATAAAAAACATCAGATTATAAAAGCATTTGAGAGCCCAAAGTTTTGAAAGTTTTTTACCTCAACTTCTATTTTTATAAATACTATGTTGTTGACGTGGGAGACGATTTTTCATCTTGTTTTGACTTCAAGCCCAGAAAAAGAGCCCTCTCTGAATTAAGTTCTCTATTGTTTCAGGTTGCTTGTTGGAGCCCCTGCGGCGCGGACGCCCCAGCCAGGAGTTAATCGAGGGGGTTCTGTGTTCCGTTGTGAGATTTCTCGCGACGACTCCTGCTTTGAGATTCCTTTTGACAGAAAAGGTACATGCAATTTCACAATTTTTTCAAGTTCTCTAAATCGCTGAAAGTTCTGTTTTTAATTTAACAGTTGTTTTCTTAAAAATTTTCCATATTTTAGGCTTCTTAAAATTTAAAAAATATGTAGATTTTTTAGCGTTTACTGTAAGTGTCAGACTGCTGACAGCTGTTTGCATAAATCTTGTTCGCAGGAAACAATATCGACCAGACGAACTCGCAAATAGACAGCAAGAGCGGTCAGTGGTTTGGAGCCACCGTCAAGAGCTCGGGCACCAATGGAATAGTTCTGGTAAGTTTGGCCAAATGGTGAAGCCTCATGCATGCATGCGAGAGTCAATGGGCGCGCGCGTGTTCGCTCGCGTAATTGGAGCGGTTGCACACAAATTGGATCTAATTAATTTGGTGCGGGTCCCTAATGGACTGCAGTTATCGGCGCGTTGGGCTGTTCAAACACACAAGCTCCGGTTGATTTATTTTTGATAAATACTAATTATAGAGATGTCAGCAGTTGATGAAGATATTAATTGAAGGCTCTTCAGAGGGGTCAACAATGAACCATGGGTAGTATTTTAATTGTGGAAAGGTCTGAAGTTGATTAAAAACTCTAAGAAGAAAAAATTACAATTTTTTTAGTATAATTTTATTTTATTACAAAGTTTATTTTTATTTTTGGGTTTTATTGTTATTTTCAGGACGCTTTTTTTTATTTAATTCAAAACATCCACAAATTTTGCGCGAAACCACACACAGTATCCGCTGCTACACCGCGTCGCCACCAAAACGTGGGATGACACAGACAGTGGTTCCGAGCGATAACTTTACGCATCATTTAGCGGAATCAGTGATCACCCGTCCTGTATTAATAGCAGGCACACACACGCCCAGCTCAAGAGTTGCAGGGGCATCAGCCCCGTGCTCCATTTATCGTTTTGGTGCATCCAGCGTGCGCGATTAACGAAGGAGCAGCCCGCGCTGGTTGGCACCGTCGAAAATGCATAATTCGGTGCGAGAGAGCGGCGACGAGAAGCAGGAGAGCGACTCTCGCTGCGGAGAGGCGTCGGTGCCTATTTTCGGCGCTACCGGCCCAAAATAGCGGACCGATGGATGGGTGTGCGCGAGTGAGTGAGTGAGTCTGCACCGCAGCACACCAACGCGCTCCTCGTCGGCCGCGTCTCTCGTCGTCTCCCACACAAATAAAAAAGACACTCATCTCTCCCTTTTCGTCCATGCCAATATATGTTCCCTTCTCGCTGCCCCGATGAGTGTTTCCTAATGAGAGATTTATTTCCCGTGAGCTCTGGAAGAAACATTGACTCATTACTAAGCGTTGTGCGAGCAGGAAAACTCTAAAATAAATAATATGTTAAATTTGCATATTTTCAGAACAGGTGTGATTCATTTTTTCAATGAATCATTTTTAAATAAGGTGGAATTTGCGGCAGATCTTTATTTATGGTGCTAATCTTTCATGGAAAAAAACGAGTGATTACGTAAACCACTACTTCTGGTTTTGGTTGTTTTAATTACTGACGTCTTGAGAAATGGAAATATGCGTCATTTCTATTTAATTCACTGTCCAAGAGAGGTATCCGTTTCGGCGGTTTTGGTTGTTTTGCAAATGTAGTGATAGTAACTTGATGCTGTGGTTGAAACGTAAAGAATTGTGGCTAGCTGAGTTTGGCAGAACGATACACTTTTGCAGATGAACTAATTTATCAACCAATTTATTTTTTACCTTGCAAATTTTACTGTATTAATTTTACTCTAAGAAAATATATTGTTTATTAATTTTATGAGGGTGTTCTATTTGTGCATTTTTATTACTTCATAATAATATGATTCACTCACCTGTTTAGCATCCAACAATGAGACAAGTTTCAAGTATAGGATTGACAAAAGAACGTGATGTCAAATTCATAAACAAAATTCTCCCACTCACTATCATTTGAAAGACGCAGACAAGAATTAAATTGCCCTTTCAAGTGTGCATTATTCTGATTGAGTTGGCTCATCGTTCCAACAAGTTGCCAAACAAGGTCACGGATGGTCAAAAGTATAGGCCCAATTATGTCACAGTAATTGTGGTGTACCAAGCCATTGTTTTCTACACTCAACTCGCACAAAGCAGAGAGTCTAAGATTACAAAGGAGCGCACTGCAGAGAGGGAAAGCAGCAGTGAACCGAAAGATTGATTCGGTCTCTCAATGTAACGAGATACTATTATTTAAATCCGCATAATAAATTTACCCTGATGCCAATGTGAACAACTGTGTCACAGTCAAAGAGACAACTAAACATATGTGTACAATGTAAGTACAAACCGCAATAGACGTTTGATCTAAAATCTAAAAAGGTTTTGAAAGTCGTTTTGAAATTTAAAAATATATTTTTGATATATTTTTCAAAGTAATCTCATACAGCTTCTATTCCAGTCCAAGCAAAAACACGCGTGGGAATTATATAAGAACTCCAATTTAGTCTCGGCGTTTTATATTGATTTTCAATTATGCCGAAAGTTCCCTTTGTGCAATAAACCTTTAATATCAAATAGTGGCCTTTAAGGGCGTGGTCTATTAGACTCTTTGATGCGGGCTCGTTCAAATTGTCGGTGCACATTCGAGGGAGAGTGTATTATACAAAATATAGAGGGGGCCGTAGCGCACAGCATTAATTGTGTTTTGTACGTGATGCGCCGAGAGCACGATTTAGCTTTTTATTATTTGTGGCAGCGTCCAATTTGCATGTTGATTTACTTTATGGTGATTTCGCCTAGAAACGAGCACACGCCTTTCAAGAGTGAATTTGCACCTTGTTTACAAATTGTGTGTGAAACCGCCGAGTGCGTGCCTTTGTTCTTTTCATATTTGAGAAGATCCGAGCATAGCGTTTTTATAGATGTGGTGAAATTTATTGATCATTACCTTTATATGGAAATTGCTTCATTCAGGGGCTGCTCTTGATGGGTCGTAAAAAGAGCTCTTTAATTGAACTCGACGCTCCAACTCAGTGATTTTATCGCTCACGGTTGACGTCTGATTTTGCTCAAGCTTGACGCATTTATTTCTAAAAGTAAAAGCAATAACTTGGAGCCGGGATTAATGATTTTAACTCATTAATATTTAAAAAAAAAATAATAATAATAAATAAATAATATTAATAATTAGTTACTACTTTGATATCTAGATATTCAAATTAAGATTGACAAAAAAATGAATAAAATTATTTAAATTGAATAAATAATAATTTAAAATATTTAATTTCTTATTACTAAAAAATATTTATATTTTATTAACTAAATTAAAAAACAATTTTTTTACATACTTTAAAAAAGAATTCTTCCAAAAACCTAGTGTTTATTTAGGTTTATTTAAATATTGAACAATTTTTTATGTTTTAAATATTCCTCTTATATCCCTCATGCCTGTCATTTTCATTTATCATTTATTTTTCGTGTCTATTATCTCCAGAACTTATAAAGGCAGTGGCAGATCATTCTGACTGCGCCCCCATTGTTCTCCAACAGACGCACATCCCTCTCCATCCCATGATCCTTTCATCAGCAGCGCACAATCGTTTCGGCGGCGATAATTACCATCAGAGCCGTCAGATTTGTTTCTTACCGAACAATATCCAGCCACTTTGCTCCTTCTTTCGCGGCCCTAATCTAGAGGCCAAGACACTCTATGGCATTATTATCGTCATAAATTTTTGAACTCTGCACACGGTCCCAGCAGCAGTCGCTTTTTGTTTCCAACAGTCATTCATTATAATAATATTACCCATTGTCGGCACCGCAACTCTCCACCATTTGTATTAATTTAGACGCCTTTCGAATTTCGAAGTCATTGCGGGTAATGATTGCGATCGGCGTCTTGAAATTAGTATATTTCAAACCGCAGGCTGTATAATTTTGAGACCTCTTTATTTTTGGTGCATGCGGATTTATCGAGTTGCAAAAAAATAAAACAGTTTTTTCTTATATTTTTCCTCGCTAATTGGCCCGAATTTGATTTCAGGTGTGCGCGCCTCGGTACGTCTATTACTCTTCCAACAAGGAACGTCGAGAACCAGTCGGCACTTGCTATGTGGCCCGCAACAGCTCCTCAAGTTTTGACGAATACTCGCCGTGCAGAACTGGTAAGTTGAGATTACAAGAGAAAAAATATTGTTATTTTCCGCGAGCGCCGGGCTCATTGCTGTCAATCACTGTAATTATGGCGAGAGCGAGCCCGCAAGCAAACGTCCGCCTGCTGCAAACAGCATTCGGTAATGGACCGCATCTCGAAGAGCTCTAATTTATTTTTAGAAAGACGCGCGTCAGTCTGAAACCAGATATATTACAATGAAGAAGAAAAAAGCGGGAAAATCAATAACAATAAAAAAATTTTAAAAAATTATTCCAATTAAATTATTTGGGATTTTTTGAAGGGACAACAAAGAAGCAATTAAATTAACTAGAAACTTGCACCTATTCAAGTTTTTTTTCTTTTCATCTTTATATTTTACGCCTTTGGTTAAATTATAAATTTATCATCTATTGGGCTGCTGACAGATACACATGCTACAGTTAAATGAATCAAATCCAGACTGGCGCTAAAAAATTAATTTTTTCTCTCCTCTCTTTGCGATTCAGCCGGGCCAAAAAGGTAGTGCGTAGAAACTTGCTCAGCCTCCGCATTGACCACTTCTTGCTCGGCTTGGTTATCATTCGCGCAGACAGCAGAAGTGCGTTGGCGTCGGCGTACGCATGCCGCTATAATAAATGTATTTTTGGGCGCGGATCCACCTAGCTATGCTTGAAACAGACTTCTAATTGACCTCGAATAATTTGCACCTGCCGCATAAAAGTGACGAATTTCCATGTTTACCCCACGGTGGATGCTGCAAAGTTTGTCTATGGCCCACCGGAAGTTGCACTCGTCACGCTATTTTGATAATTTTGGACCAATTTGTGAAAATCTGGCAGAAACAGATGGCTTTGAAATTTTGAATTCCTCCTCAAGCGAAACATAAAATGTATAACCTCTGACGCTATTCGAATGAACGTGTAAATTTACATTTTCCATTAGCACATTTTTTCAACATTTTTGCTGGCCAAATTTTTTCTCGGAGAGCAGGGATTTGATATTGAATAAAGCAGAGTAAAGGCCCATTTTTCCTCAACTAACAAGAGAAACCTAAGTTGAAAAAATCTTCATTTCTGATTAGATGAAGTTTTTCTTAGAAATTTTGTGTAGATCATAATGCAGAAAAAAGTTAATTTCTTGGAATTGCAAGTTTTATAATGTCTTCATCACCCAGCGGTATATATTTTGATTATTTGCTCCGTAGATGGTGTTGGAGTTATCATTTTTTTTTCTTTCTTAGCACTTGATGCTCACTGCTCTCCGCTCATTAATATAGTTGTCAGACTCTGCAAATAAGCAGCTCTTCTTGCAGCCTGTCGCGATAATGAGCGAAAACAAAGAACGACGCGGCTCCCTTCATCGCTAAAAAAGTGCAGGAAATTGCTGAAATAATTAATGCGCACTTCAATCTTTCTACACTTAAATCTTCATTATACCCGGCGAGAGATGATGGTGGTGATGATGATGATGATGATGCGCTAGCTGTCCTCGCCCATAAATGATAAAACAGAACAGGCAGAAGAGAGAGATCTCGAGTTTTTTTTCATCTCGCGCGGAATAACTTTATTAACAGAGAAGAGACGCTCTTCTCATTCCTTTTTTTTTAACATTTTAATAAAAATAAAATATACAATTAGCAACGCCCCTCGTCAGGCGTGTTTCAGATTCTGAACCCTTGATTGTGTCGGCCGAAAAAGGAAATTAGTTCAGATTTTAATTTCTTAATGTAATAAAGCGCGTCGGCGCGGACATCATAAAAAAAGCTCAACTATATGGGAGATGCAGTTCTTTTGGTCGTGCCGAGATAGCAGACAGTGCATGTGGGAGTTAAATTGATGCGGTTATTTCAACAGGGGGAGACGCCGGCCGAGAGTTGGTTTATATCCCTGCGCTGTTATATGCGTGGAGTAAAAGGCCCGTGGAGGTCACTCACTGCATTATTAGGTCAAAGGCATTAGTTTCCTGAATCGCTTGTTTACAGTGCACAAACATTAGAACCTATTATAGGGCAGGAGAGATGCGTGCCCTTTCATCGTTACAAAACGTAATAATGTGTATCAAATCATTATAAATGCAGGCAATTTATTATAGAAATCTATCATTTATAAAGCAACAAAGACAGTGCACATTTATACAGATTTTTTCTGCAAATTTATTTCTCTAAGATTTCAAAGCCGTTTGACATATAAAAATCCATTTTTTATTAAACAACTTTTTTGCTTAAAATTGCATAATATCAACATTATGATTGTGACGAAAACTGAACAAAAATAATATCAAATAATTAAAATATTAAAATTAAAAAATTATAATATACAACTTTATTATTCATTTAAAAAAGAAAACTAAATAAATTTCAAAAATTAATAACTGGTTCAACATTTAAATTGTTTATGCTTAGCAAATTTTATATTTAACACATCTCATAATTCTTTCTTTATCTCCACAGTATCTGATCTGAATGTGGTTCTTGTTGTTTTCCCCTTCGAAATAAAAAGCGGTTTTAAGAAGCAAAAATTATTCAGTGGGTGGTTAATAAGCCAATCCTGTATTCCATCCAGACCAATCTGATAAGAGGCGTGTGTGCCGAGTTTGTTTGAAGACAAGTTGTTTGTTATTATTCCAGCACATCTGTTTCACGTTTTTTCTTCTTACGGCTGCCGTTCTGCTGCGGGGTGCAGTTCCACAAAACCAGCAGCGCGCACGTTTCATTTTTTAAGGGTGTACCTGCGGGTCAGAAGCCATTTGGAGAGGAAAATGCCTAGCTCTCTCTCTCCGCACAGGCAGGCGCTCCCATTAAACAGGAAGTCTTTTAATACACCCAGCATGCTGCATTAAATTTGTCAGCCTCTCGCTATGGCCAGCTTTTTTCACCGACGCCACACATGGTTCCTGAAAAAATCTGCTTTGGATTAATGGAAAAATTCGTCACGTGCACCTTCTGCGAGCCATGGCAAGCAAATAGGCTTTCATCAAAGGCCACATGTGTGATGTATCGCGTCTCCTTTGAGGAAAAAATTGACCATGTACCATTCGATAGATGAGAGCAGAACATCCTCAATAAAACTCCTAGGGAGAGCAAATTATTTAATTCTTTAGATCAACAGAAAATCCAAAATGAAATGCTTCAAAATGCAAATCGCAGGCATTCAAAGGGCGAATATTTATTAAGGAAAAGTATTGCCTTGCAATAGAATAAAGAAACTTATAATTTGTATTTTGTTTGTGTGAAGCAGCTCGTCAAGAAATGATCTCCTAATTTATATATGTTATGTCGCACACCTATGGTGTTCTTTAATAAATTCATTCATAATTTGTATTGGAAAATATTATTATTTTTCAATGGTTTCAGTAAATTTTTAAGCTTACATTTTTAATATTTTATATTGAAAGTTATATTTTCAATATTGTATAGCTTTACAAAATGATTTGAATTAATTTTATTCTCTTTGCAGACCAGTGGGGTTACCACAGACAAGGATACTGTCAAGCTGGCTTTGGGGCTGACATTTCAAAGGTAAGACCAATGATTATTTTTATTTGCATATTTTTTTTTTGCAAAAAAATTAAATTTAATTGTAAACAAAATTATACTAATTGTAGAATGAAAGAGGAAATTTTGTTATGAATTTTATGACATATCTTTTTAAATGGAATAACTTAGAGAATTTTTTATTTTCTATTTACCTTATTCTCTTTAATTTTTTTCATGAAAGTTCAGTCGGTTAAATTTCTAATACGATTAAGCTGGAACACTTCACAATGCTAAGCATTTCATAGATTTATTTTCACTCAGAGTTAAAAAACAAACAAAACCGTTGAGAACCTCTGTGGACTTCGTTAATGCTCCTTATCAGGATATCCTCCACCACTGTTACTTGTTTATAAAACGCGCGCGCTCTCCTTTCTTTTCTCTGCGCGGCGCTTTATTGCCTTTTCTAGCCGCGTAGTTAATGGAATGGGCAGACACACCACACAGAGTCCTTTATAAATATATTCAGTGTAAACTTTTGATCATTCCAACCGTAAATTATTCTCTCATCAAAAATCAATTAGAGTAGGAGCTGTTGCTTGAAGGTTTTTATGTCACATTTTATGCAGGATCTTTGTTTGAAAATGTTCTGATTTCCTCCTAATGGACTTTTTAATGGATTATTATTCAGATCAAGCTGTCTCTTGGCTAAATTATTAGTTTCTCTGTTAATCAAAAGCTTAGCAAATTTAAAAAATACAAAAATGGCTCTCTTTACTCGTAATTTATTTATTTAAAAAATGCAGCTTTACAGTTTTGTTATAATGAATGCTTAAAATACTTTCGCACTTCTCTAATCATTTTTTCATTTCTTATATTCTTTTGTTTCAAACGTTTTTCAACGGTAGAACGCGTTTGCAAAATGCACAATAGGCGAAAGACGGTGCTGGTGCCTCAGGAGCCGTGCATCTTTTTCTCTCCCTGAATAGAAGATGCAGCGGCATTGTGTGCGCGGATAATAATAGAAAAGTTAATAACCCGTGGATAATGAAATTCCAATTTCCATTCTGGTCTCGATTCGGCATGAAATACCTGAGCGGACAAAAAATTAATTACAGACAGGAGAGGGCACCGGGTATTAAGTGACACAAACGGAATTTAATTAAAACCGACACCGCGCCACTGCTGCGGTGTCCATTTATTTTTATTATATTCCGCGCGATGAGAACAGGCGCAGAATGGAATTTTTCAGCCTTTTCCACTCTTGCCACGGTCCATTACGGCGCGAACTGGACAACAATGAGAGTCGCGCGCGCGGACATTAATTGAAAATTTCTCTTGGCAATTTGGGTGGCTTCTTTTCTGGAAGCACAATGCGATAAACAATCAGCGCGGCCGCGGTGATTGACAGCCGCAACAAGGCGCCATTCTCTGCGGCCTGCATATAATTTCCTTTGTGAGCCTCGGCCGGGAAGTCATGCTGCGAGATCGAGCGCCACTCAAGTTTGATTACTGCTCACGTATCTTTGGTGATTTCGACTTGCAAGAGGAACAACTAGGGGTTCCCTATTATTTCCTCCCTGATCTCCTTTGATTTTTTTGTATTCATTTTGAACTTGGCTTCCATTTAAATCTTTTTAATTCAGATAAAATTTAAAAAAATCTCATAAGGAAAGCTACTATAAAAATAAAAACATTCACGCGCACAAAAAAATTGATAAAATTTTGCAATAAAATTGCGTATTTATTTAATTAATGTTGTTAATTTGTTTGCATTGTTACATTACATTCAACTGGTCAATTGATTTAAAAAAAGCATTGCTGGACAAAACGGCACCACCACAAGCATGAATTTCGAAAAAGTTCTGAGATCAAAAAGACTATCCACCGCAGTGAGCATTAAAAATTTCAAAAATATTAAAATTATTAATAGTAAATTTAAATTTAAAGTACCAGCAGACCGCAGGTCGCCTTTGGGGTCAGTTGTCCTTTATTTTTTCATTTTTTCTTTGCAACGAGGTTCGCCCGGTTTCAATCTTTTAGTAAATTTAAATTTAAAAACAATCACATATCAAATGCTCAAGGTTTTCAGGTTTTAATTTTAAATAAATTATTTTATTTTTATTTTTTTTTCAATAATATTTTTATTGTAACAGAAAAAAATTAATTTGAATTTTTAAATAATTTTAAATTTTTTTTTATCTGAATTTTTAAGTCTCTTTTTAGGATGATATTTAATAACCAAAAAATTACATATAATAAAGTAACCACTGCTTTGCTTTCCAAAAGAATGATCGCGTGATTGATTTGCTGTAGCCATCTTGACGCTCTGAACTTTTCAATTTTATAATACAGCCATCAAATGCAAACCGAACAGCTCACGTTCTCGTGTCATTCGCGCTGCATGCGTTATGAGTATTATCAACTCGCTCACCGACACAATTCAGCAGCGGTGATGTATTATTAAGTTACTTGGCTCCGCTCCTGTCAGCTAATGGTGCAAAAGTCGTCGACAAGAATCAAAAGGAGCTGCTGCGTGTTATTTATTTAATAATACATAATGAAGATCAAGATTGGTTGTGCTTCGTCACTCCCTGCTCTTTTCAAAGCAATATTCAAAGTTATAGGCTTGATTATTATAGGAAAATTAAATAAATCATAAAAGGAAAATTTTTTTGAAACGTAATTTAAAATAAATCACCGAGAAGTAAGAAAGTTGCTGAGTTTGACAAATTACATTGATTTGCAATTTTAATTGGTGGCAGGAGTGGTCCAATGATGAATTGAGCTGTTTTCAAAAATACTTTCCCCACCTCATTCCATCTCTATTCTCCATCTTGAAAGTTGATTTGGAGAATCCAATTAAAATTCAGGCTGGCTCACGTTTCGCTGGACACATTAATCAATCGCGTTGCTGCCAATTTTACTGCGAATTTTCATGCAGGCCTCGTTTTCAAAGTGACCGGGCACGGAAATCAAAAGTTGTATAATAATTTGTCACACATATTCCACGTGCGCGGTTTGTTTAGCCCCAGATTATAATCTATGCTTGATTCTTCTAGCGCTCTCTGCTGGCAGGAAATGATAAAAATTCTTAGAACGTTCCGTGTGCAATAGAAAAACGAATAAAGAAGTGGTTGGAAGCAACTTCTTTTCCTCACAGATTTATGAGTATATTTCAAGCAACTGCACAGAGGCGATTCTTTTGAATAACGAAGGGCGTATATAAAAATTTATTCCTTGGCGTTGTGAGGCGACAATTCATCTGAAATGCAGAAATAAAATTTGCAACAATGAAACCTTCACAGACTGCCGTGCGATCAGAATATAAAATGTGCGCAAACGGACCAATATAAAGTTCAATTTTTTTCCAAGAGCTCGCCCAGAGAGGTTTGGTTCTATGAAATTATTCATGAGATAAAAATGCCTTCGTGCAATTTTTCCATGAAACGATTAGTCAGGCAGTGTAATTAAGTGACATAAAACGCCACCCGAGCAATAACAATTACATTCATATAATTTTATTGGACATATTCAAAGCTTTGACCATTCCGAGAGCGAAAATTTCAAAACGGTGCGTGCCGAAATATTTTTATTATTCGTCGGCGCAATTGACAGAAGACGAAATCATAGAAATTATGTACCATAAAAAAGGGGCAGCATCTCGCAGCAGGATGGAGGAGGAATTTGATACTTCAAAGTTTCAGCTCACGTCGGCCCAAGGAAAAAAACTAAAGGATATGAGCATAGGCAAGAGATGGCTTTTTATTTTCTGCTGCCTGCCGTGGAAGGCATATTTTGCTTTGGAAACACGTATCTTAGATTCCAACACCGTGATATCAACGGTCTTTTTTATGTACCGAAGTGGCCAGCGAGCTCTTCTGACGTACTTTTTTATCATCATCATTTTATGCTGCACATTGTAGAGAGCAGGGAATCTCGATTGCCGCGTCCGGTGGTCCTCTTTGTTCACGAGGAAAAAATGAATCGGGCGCCAATTCTCACCGTTTAAATTAGTCTCCATGCCAAATTGATAAAGATTAATCTGCTGCTCTTGGCACTGGTTGCAGGTGTGCAAAAGTATTGATGTGTAGATCAATCGGCGACAAAAAAATTCAGAAAAAATTCAATTTATAAATTGATATCAATTGTTATACTTCGCATTATCCTGGATTTTTATATATAATTAATTTATTAAAAACCACAAACTAGTTAAGTTTATATTAGTTAATAAAGCTTAAAAAATTACTAGAAAAAGTTGATAATAGTAATAAATTTATTTATTATTATCATTTTCTACAAAAAATTATAAAATTAGTTATTGTAAAACAAGTTTATAATTATTTTTAGGTTTTTTTTTTAAATTTAAGCTATTTTATTTTATTAAATTATTTTAAAAATTTAAACAATTTCCATTAAAAAATATTTTTTTATACGAAGTGCCTCTCTACTTCTTTAGTTGACTTAAATCTATATGAAGCTATATATTTTTACTATAACTTCATAGTTTTTATAAAGCCATTTCGCCTATTTTAAAGGCAATAAAACTAGAAAAACCTCAAGCTTGGTGGCTTCTTTGAACTGATTCATGTGAGCACCATTGGGCACTCAAAGGAATGCCATTGTGCAGATCTTCTGGCCCAGAGGAGCCCATTTATAACTTGCGCAAGAATGCTAGAACGGTGATTCATTAAGTAATGGAAATTTATCGCGCTTATCTCTGAAAATCGCCGCGTTGCTCCCGTGGCGGGCGCTCTCTTTGTTTTTATTGAAAAAGGTCAAAGTTTATGGCGGAGACAAGTCTGAAAAGCCGCAAATTTTATTGCCCCCTCACGGCCAGGCGCCGTTCCGTCATTTGCATAAAAGGAAAATCTTATATGTATTCTTTTGCTTTTAGTTTAATTCTTTTAAGGTAATGTACGCAAAAGCTTTTGTTCTTTACCAATTGTGTATTCGATGTTGCAGGACGGAAAACGACTGTTCATCGGGGCGCCTGGAAGCTATTATTGGCAAGGTAAGATAATCGAAATTGCGTGGTCATTTTCTTGTGATGCGGATTTTTTAGAGAGTCTTTTTGGTAGTTTATTTATGCATACATTTTTATTTTCTTTCTGTAAATACATCTCCCTTTTTAGTTTATTCAATTTTATTTTCTGCGAGTCGCGTTATTTTTTTCTCTCTATTTATTTTATTTTCACTTTAGTTTTGCGTGTGAGACTAATACTCTTAAATAAAAAGAGAAGCTGAAATTTGTCCTCGGACACGTGTGAAAGAGGAAAATCCATTTTGGGATTATAAACACCTAAATAATAATCCTCACGGGCAGGTCACAATGAAAGAGTGGCTAGGCGTGCTGCTGGAATAAAGACGGAGAAAACACAATGAAATAGCAGGGGGAGATAACTTTGGGGCACCAACGGCTTTTGGATTGTCACACCATCACTGTGATACCCGGACGCCTGTGAATATCTGCAGACAGTGTTGGGGATTATAATGGGCTGGCAGCCAGAAAAAGACGTGAAAAGGCCACAGACCACCAATGCTGTCTATTCTGTAGCCATTCTGTTGAAATGTTTTACAGAAAATTCATTTTAATTTTGCAAATTTTAAATCTTTCAAAATGGGGTTTTTAATTTGGTTACAGTAAATCTAATTTATCATATGAATTAATATAATTCTTTTTTTTATTATTTTTTAATTCCATACTAAATTTGTATTTTTTTTTTGTTCAACGCTCTTCCTTATTTCTTCGCGCATAGGCTGGAGAGCTCCAGATGCAACACATTTCCCATATCATTTGCACCCGACGACAATAAAGTCGCGGTGGCAATTGCCAACTAGAGCTCTATCTAAAAAGCGCTCAGACAAGGGTGATGTCAGCCAGGGCACAAAAAGAGCATTAATTTGTGCTCTTTCATCGGCGGGCCAACTCAATTCCGGGGTGCTCTGCTGATGGGAAAGAGAAGAGCAGAGAACTTTGTTTGAGCGCACTGAATTTTTTTCCTCTTCCAATACGTAGACGCTCCGGCAGACAGAGTGTTGATTGTATTAAAGAGGTCTCGTAATACGCGGCGGATGTAAGAGATCATTTATTTTGGCCGGCGCCACCTTTTTAATTCTTTCATTCTGCCAAACCCACCCACTCTGCTGCATTTATTCACGTTTCTCATTATTCGTTTCGCGCCGAACGCAGAGATAAAAGTAATACGTGCCGAGAAATTCGCGGCGTACTTTGGGAAATTAAAATCTCTGTTCTCGCCAGCAAGAAGGTGTGGCTCATTTATCGCTTTCGTGAACGAAATTTTGATCAATTCGCACCTTCTTGTTATGGCATCAAAATTAAAATGGAAGCCACTCCTTTTTTTAAATCAAGTAATTGAATTGCACACGCCTGCTGCTCAATTTAAATTTTCTCATAAATAATTCACTTAATAATAATAAATTATTTTTAGATAATTTATTGCATTAATATTCCTACACTGCCCCAAAATTTGGGTTTCCTCATCAATCATCAGCTTTAATAATGGTTTTTTAGTAAATAAATTTATATAAAATGGTTTATAATAAAAACACGCCAAAACTGCCCGATTATAAATATAGATATTAAAACTTTAAAGAACTTGTGAATGAAATTAAAAATTAATCTGTGTAAAAATGCTACGTTTGGTTTGGAAAGTCTCAGACAGTTCAAGATACGCATCACATCGAGCGAGGGGTCGATCGTCTTAAAAGTTAGGAGTGCCGAACCGCAGAAGCTTGTTCGATAGTTTGTTGCTAGCTGTGTATTAAAATGTGGTTTTCTCTTGGCAATGTCAATTTCAGGACAAATGTATTCAATTAGCGGAGAACGGCCTGAATTACTGCCGCCACCACGATCGGCGATTCTGGCATCAGGTAAAACACCAATCAATAACCAACCAAAATCAACCAACACACAATCACAAACGGAAAAGGGAAGATGGACACGAGACATCTCTTAACCTACAAAAAACTAATCTCAAACTCTTTCCAGAAAGTGCAGTCCTTGTTTTTCAAACACAAACATTTTTGTGCAGTTTTCATATTCGTCAACTTTTTGATATACCAAAACTTTTTTCGCGTTTTGTGCCGTTCTGTTCCACGTTTGTCGAACTCCTTGTCTCACCTATATATATTTTTAAAAAAAATAAGAGATACACCAGAAATATATTTTTTGGCACGGTTGAAACGTCCCAAAAGATCTGCGCCAACCATGACTCACAGGACTTTGTAGACGAGCGTGGCTAAAAAAATATCACTTCAGACTCAGAAAGCGCCAACCGTGTTTTTAAACACACACTTTTCAATTATCATTCATCAGCAGACATTAACCTTTGTCACTGTTGGATGACGACAAACAAAAGCAAATTTTTGTGATTTGCCTCTCGCAGCCCTTGTTATCGAATTAAAACAATTTTCCCGCGGACCGTTTTAATCGGTCATTTGCGCAATAAAACTAGCATCATTCAAACAATGATCAATTCATTCGCGTGTCGACCTACGCCGGTCTAATCAGAATAAATTGGCAATAAATTTGACGCATCCTCTGCGCAAACACGCACACGTATTTCAATTATCGGTCATTCGCTATAAATTACTCAACATCACTTTAAATTTATTTATACCAGCAACACACAAATTTCATAACTCTCCGGCCGGCCGGTGATAAATTTTATTTATATTCCGCAATCAATTCACTTCACAATGTAAACGACGGACAGCATATTTTATTGGATCGTCTCAAAACAATTGAGATGAAGAGCTTTAACATTTTATTTTATTCGCTCGCCCGACGACAACTTCCGCTCTCCCAACTTCTCGATTTTATCATACATTGCAAATTATTTTTACAAAGGGGACACATTTCAATGGATTGAGTCATTTGAATATTGATTTTGAGAGACGCCTATTATAAAATTGAGAAGAATAGTTTGGGAGGAGGGGTCTTTGTCGGCAGGAAGGTGAATCGATTATTAATGAATTAATTACTACTGAAGCGGGAGATAATCTCACTCAAGGACATTTGGGATCGGAAATTATTAAAAATCTGACATAATTGGGTTATATTAACTTGCTAGATCGATCAGTACCATTATCAACATTGGAACCAACAATTACAAAGGTGGCAGAGTTTTTAAAATAATTCATTTGATCATATTTTAATATTCCATGAATAGCTAATTTTAGACTTAAGGGTTTCTCGAAATTGCCCAAAGGTCACAGACATTTAACAGCTGCAATGAGGTAAATTGTGAGTGTAATGAATGCATCTCTCTTTAATTAACACTGCGGCAAGAGAGCGGAAAATTAGTCTGTGGTCGCTTCGATTTGGGTTTAGTCGGACCAAAACCTTTCGCCGACCACGTGAGCTGATGCACCAGAACGATTTTCATTTGAAATGATTGCGGTTCTGCGACAAATTTGCGTCAACCACGGCTAATTCGTCGCTCGTCTTGCCAGTAGATAGATTTGACATATTAATTTGTGGTTCTCGAATCCAAATACAGCTGGACAACATGTATGACAAAACATCACAACACATCGCCATTAGTAATATTGGCTCAAATATTATAATATATTGTCCTTTGTCTTGTATTCTTGGTGGTGACTCGTTATCTGTACATATAATGTTTTACTTGTGCTGAAATTTCATTATTAATCTTAATAAATTTCCAATCCTAATTATTCAGGTTTAATTACAATTGGCAACTAATTCTTCATAAATTAAAAATATATAATTATCAAAAACTTTTAATTGTGGCTGGTTTTTATTTGGAATTATTATAATTTCTCAGGTATGGCCTTCTCACAGAGTTTGTACACCAGACCTGACTTGAAAGCAACCAAGGAGGGAACGGCCACTGATGACGACAGTTATTTGGGCTATTCCGTTGTGGCCGGTGACTTTACCGGAGAGGGTCGTCAGGGGTGTGCAGTTGGCATGCCAAAAGGAGCGTCCCTGCTTGGAAAGGTAAAATTAGAGCAAAAAAGTAAATTTAAATTTTTTTCTCATTCAAATATAATTTGTTGGCTGATTGTAAGATGATAAATTATTAAATTTCATCCGCACTAACGGTGGTGGTTTTGTTTTTGTTTCTTCTCTTGCATCACCGGGCCAGTTTATTTTACCCACTGACTTTGCTGCCCGGCAGAATGAATTATGGACGGTAATTAGACTTGGCTTTGGCAGCCAACGGCTCTAGACGAGAAATACACACATATACAAAATTTCACACTAGAAAAAGGAATAAAAATAGCACGTGTTTTTGGCTCCTGGCCGGAAGTTGTGTTGTTTGTGTGGCTTCTTCTTTTTCTCTCTCTCCACTTTCAGTGGACTCGACGCGATCTGTGAGCCGAAAGGGCTATTCTCAGCAGTCTGCTCTGTTCCAGTGATATATCTGTCAATGTCCGGCGCTAAAATAAATAAAGATGCCCGCGCCGGACCCGATTTTTTCAGAGTCCTTGCGGGTTTCTGAGCAGCTGCACTGCATCCAACGCCGATTATGCAATTTATTGCCACTCGTTTCGCAGAACAATGAGAAAATAAACTTTTTTGTCGGGGTTTTGCTGATTTGGTCACGCGCCAAGTTTCATAATTTTCTACAAAGTTTTAACTGACACAAAGACAGTGTCGTCGCCAAGTCTGAAAAAAAATATTCCACACCCTGTTCTTTTTCAGCCTATATACATTTACAAATTCTGCAGAACAACATTTGTAAAAGTACCGTTCTTCGGCACTAAAAAATTCTTTTATTAAAAACTTGAAATTGCTAAAAAAAAAATATATAAAATTGTTTAATTTAATTTTTCCTATAGGTATTGCTTTACACCTGGGACCTGGTGAATACGCATAATGTGACTGGCACTCAACTGGGGTCCTACTTTGGCTACTCACTTTGCGCCACCGATCTGGACGGCGACGGTCTGCAAGATCTTGTTGTTGGCGCTCCTCTTTACACCGAGTTGGACAACAACGAGGGCAAATACGAAACAGGGCGAGTTTACATCTTCTACCAGGGCCGAGAGGTAAGAGAACTTTCAAATTTTCTATAGAAGGTCTCTCAAATGTTCATTCATCTCACAAAGGAGAAATTCGGCAAGATGGAAATTCGTGACGGAGAAAAGAGCAAATCGAGATTCGGTTTGTCTTTGGCTGGACTCGGTGATATCAATAAGGACGGGTTTGAAGGTTGGTCGAAACAGAAATTATATGTAAATGGAAAAAATATGTATTTTTAATTTTCTACAGATTTTGCTGTTGGCGCCCCTTACGATGGGCCCCATGAACATGGCGCCGTTTACATTTATCATGGCTCGGCGGAGGGTGTCCGAGAGAAATATTCACAGGTCAGATTTTTATTTTTAGCATGCTTTTCTCCTCTGACAGTTTTATTTTGTCTTTTTTAAAGAAAAGAATTGAATTGAATAAATTAAAAGTCTTAATTTCGCGCCCTGTGAGCAAAGCCCGCAGCTGTAAGTACATAGTTTTGCGCTTACTTTTAGTTAGCAGGCGTTCTTATAATTCCTTAATTCGTCTTTCCTTTTCCGCCCTAAAGCAGATTTATATGGGGAAATTTCCGCCCTGCTAATTTATGCAAACCGTCTTCTTGGCTACCAGTTTCACTGCCGCTCAGTGATATTTAGAACCAAAGGTCAGGCGTAAAATTTGCTCTGAACTTTACGACTATTAGGATTAGAACTCCAGCTAACTCTCTCGTCTTATTAGGCGCCCAACCAAAGACGTGCACCGGTCTACATTTCGGTACTACCGCAATAGCACCTCTTTGGCAAAGCTCGCCTCGTCCTCACTTATTGCCACTTCGAGAGCTTGCGGGCTTCAAGTGCAATTACACGATTTGCACGAAAAAAAAAAAAGTTTTACTTGTAAGAAAAAAGTCACTCGCCAGCTGAATGGAAATTTTCTTTCTGCGGCACTGGGGATTAGTCTATTTTTTGTGTGCTGCGGGGCGGGCGTTCTCATTTAAACGTAAAGTAGGCAGACCGCACTGCATGGAAATAACGCGGGTTGCGGCAAACTGTTTTTTACAGGCGCTCAGAGGAGCTGTTTATTGCTGCAGGCAACTTTATTTAAACGAGATTAAATTGATTTTAGGTTATTTTCGCTGAGGAAATCGGCCCGAACATTGCCACTTTTGGATTCTCTGTTTCTGGAGGATTTGACTTGGATGAAAATTTGTATTCGGATCTTCTCGTTGGAGCGTATGAATCAAGCACTGCTATCCATTTCCCGTAAGTTTATTTCAATTTAATTGATAAGAATGAATAGATAATTTATTTTAATTTTGAAGAATTACTTTTCTTCTGCGCAGATAGCAATGGAAAACAGTTATTTGCATTTCATTTCATAGCCTTTGTTGAGCTCAATATTATGTACATATTTGCTGAAGACAAATATTTGACGTTCTGTCTTTTTTTGCAGTTCGCGTCCCGTCGTCAACGTAGACGTAAAACTGACTTTTAGCTCAGAGGTCAAGCAAATTGCCTTGGACGATCTCAAATGTCGTCTGAGAGATGGCACAAAAGTGGCCTGTGTTGAAGTCACTGCCTGCTTTGAATACGGCGGCGTCACAGTTGAAAGGAGACTTGGTTAGTTTTTAATCATGAAATTAATTAATAAAAATAAAAAATTTGATCATTTTTCTTTTAAGATTTTGAGATTCAAGTCATCTTAGACGCCAAGAAACCCAAAAGTCCGCGGATGTTCTTTGTGGACGAAGAAGGCAGGAACTCGATCAATCAAACAATAAGACTGAACAACAAATCTCTGTTTTGCAGAACGTATCAAACATATATAAAGGTACGCCGTTGTGATTTTAAAGACGGTTTGATTAATTTCATTTATTGTTCAGCCCAATATTCGAGATAAGCTGTCGCCTATTGAGGCGGAGGTGCGTTATAGTCTGCTCAAATCACCCACCTCGTCAAACCAGTTGCTGCGGAGAGCGCAACGATCTCTGGAGCCGATTCTCGACATGAATGTGGGTCAAGTGCAAAAGGACACGATTAGCATTCAGAAGAATTGCGGTCCTGATAATGTTTGCGTCCCCGACCTGAAAATGGAAGCTTCCCCGTAAGTTTAAAAAGATATAAATAATTAATTTAAAAATTATATTAATAATAATATTTAAAAATAAAAAAAGCTCTTAATTGAAATGAATTTTTACTAATAATAAAAATGTTTCAATTTTTAGCAATGTTGGCGAGTACCTGCTGGGATCTGAAAAGCGTCTCGAGTTCAATGTGGAGGTGTTCAACAACGGCGAGGACTCGTTTGAATCTATGTTCTACCTGACCATCCCACCTGGTCTGAACTACATCAATATTGAGCGTTCCGGCGCCGATTCATCCGTAGCAGTTCAATGCTCCGCTCCATCGTCCGCCACAAACAACACCCTGCGCTGCGACATTGGAAATCCACTGCCGAGCAGAAAGCTGGTATTACAATCACCCTATAAATGCAATTAACCCTCAGCACGCTGATTTCCCAAGTTGATTCAATTGCGTGAAATAATGTTTACTATGAAATCAAAAACTCCAGCGGGATTTTGGTGGGACAAAATATTAAAATAAAAGCACTCTCATTGAATTTAAACATTAATTTTGCTACCGCAGCTCCTCTGCAATAAAATTAAAAAATAAAAATAAATAATGAAAATTAAATAAAATATTGAAAAAGAGATTAAATGACATTAATTCTTGTATATTAAAGAAATATTTTTTTATTTTCATCTTTAGATCAAATTCAAAGTTCTGCTGCAACCATTCTGGGCACAGGGCACGCCATCCCGATTCGACTTCACCCTGGATGTTAACAGCACAAACCCCGAGGAATCATTCAACTACAAGAACAACCACAAAACGGTGTCTATTCCAATTATGGTCGACACAGACCTCCAAATTGAAGGGTACGCTTTATAACTTTGCGCAAAAAATATGAAAAAAATTAAATAAAATTTGGTTTCTCTTTCAGCTCCTCTTTACCGCCCCAGCTTTACTACAACTCGTCTGCTTATCAGCCTAGGGAGTTCTACAGAGAGGAAGGCCAGCTGGGCCCTCAGGTGGTGCACATGTACGCCATCAGAAACAAGGGACCGTCGAACATTCTCGAGGCGGAGGCCTACTTCATTTGGCCCTCATACACGCTTGACGGTAAAGTTGTCAAAATTTATTTAAATTCTAAAGAGAAAAATGTATGTATGGAGATACAGAGTGGTTTGTGAAAAGATTTAATCTAAAAAAAATCTCCTTGCTGTTGGCAGGCGAGACCCTACTTTACTTGCTCGAGCAGCCGGAGACGAGTGGACCCATCAAGTGCGAGATTGCGGCCAAAGTGAATGAAAAGAGAGTCAAGGTATGAGACATTGAGAATTGCGCACAGACGGAGCCGCAAATTGCTTTTCTGCTACTGACCAAACGTTGCTGCGTCCTGCAAATTGTAAAACCTTTTTCCACTGCAAACTAGACCCATTTATTTTTCTTTACGAATGTGGCATTAATTGGATTCCTGCCCACTAAAGAGAATAAAAAAAAATTTGTTTGTCTAAAAGGTCACAAAGAGTTACTGGAACTGAAAGGAAATTCTAGAAACAGGCTCTTATTTAGTGCAGATTGATAATATGAAATAATTTTCATAATTTAAAACAAAAATACTTTTTAATATCTGAATTTAATTTAAAAAATTATACACGCACTTTTATTTATTATTTTATTATTCCATATTAACAGTTGGAGAAAAAGAAATCGTATCTTGGTTACGCTGACGAGGATGAAAGTGGTCACGGCGGCCGCCTGGGGGTCAGCATGGTGGAGCAGAAGGAGTCGGAACGTGGCTCGCAGAAACCAAACTCCTACGACCGTTCACGCGTTTCCTCCCAAAATCAATCTTCTCGCACGGAAACCCGGAGCGGAACACGAACTGTCACAACTTATCAATCTTCCTGGTCGAAGGAGTACACTTCTGAAGAGGAGTATCAGCAGCACCAACAACAACAACAACAGCAGCAAAGGCGAGGTGGCAAGGTCAGGACGCGCCGACAAAACGACTACAGCGGAGAGGGAAGTTATGAGGACTACAGTGGCTCGGAAAGGGTAAGCAAAAATTGTTGTATAATATGCTATGATAGTTTATTTAAATGTTATTTAATTTTGCGAAGACTCGCATGGAAAATTGATGAGGAATTTTATTAATTTTTTTACTTCACAACTACATATTATTATGATGTTGAAAATATTTATGAATATTTATTGATTTGCATGTTATTGTTTGTTTTTAATTCAATTTGTAATAATAAAATAATGAAAGTTAAATCTCTTAAATGTAATTAATAAAAATATATTTATATGAAAATAAAAGCAATATAAATTTAATGTTAAGAGTAGTTTGAATTTTGATTCATCTGATTTAAAATAAGATAAATATTTTTATTCTTTAACAAATCATGTCAAAAATTAGACAAAATTATATTATTATATTAAATAACAATATTTTGATTTGTTCTGTTTTTTAAGGACGAGCAGAAAGAACTCGATGATGCTACAAAATGCGGACCAACCCAGTGCACCAAGATAAAATGCATCGTTGGACCGTTTTCCAAAGACCAGGAGGTGTGGGTGGCACTGCGGGGCAGGGTATTTGCAGACACGCTAAGAGCGGTGAGTTCCTTAAAAGTTAAAAAGCGAGAGATGAAAAAATTTAAAATTTAGCTGTCCCAAAGCAATTTTTGCCCAGAGAGGCAATAATTGTAATGTAGAAACTTTTTCTTTGAGAGCTGCCGAAAATTTAATTCCACTTTTTAGAGGTGCTGACAACTTTACCACAAAAGTGGCATATGACAATTTTCGCAGCTTTGTAAGCACTTTGTGACATGATATTCACACAGAGGGCTGAATTTTATTAAAAGCTCTGCCTCAAGCGTTGCGCAAAAAGGTCTCTTTTTTTGTTTAACTTGAAGAGACGAATTAAAAATTAATTAATAACCATTGAAGAGGCAATTTATCCGAGCTTGCTTGCTCATTCAAAAGATTAATTTACATTTCAAGCTGATTGCTTTTCAAGGCAGTATTATCTTTAAACGAGTGGTGTACTTGAGCTCGGAGTTGAATTGATTGACTGGTACTTGATCGCATTAAAAGTGGAAATTAATTGGCTGCACTGAATACCTTTGCGATTTGTTCACTCTTGAAGAGACCACTCTTTAGAAAAGTTTCTTGCTCGCGTCTAACTCTGTCTGAGTGAGGCTTTTATTGCACTTTAATTGACGGTTTATACTGGGACGACATCTCATTGGAACTGACAGAAAAGTTTGATAATCCACATTTTGTTGAAGTCTGTAAAATAAATCGAGATGTATTTTCTACAGTTAAAACTTGGCGAGTTCTTGGTGTGTATCTGACTTTCCTGAACTAACAACGCCCGCTTTGTACTTTTCTTTGACCTAGTAAGATGGAAAAATTAACTTTCATAAGCAGGTTCTCCTTTTCTCTCTGCTACAGATTTTTCCTCCCACGGTCAGCAAAAAATTGAAATTCAGCCGCTGTCGTAGCTTTCCCAATCATTACTTTTCAAAAAGCTTTCCTTGTTCTCCGAGATGAAATTCAATAAAACCGACAGTTTTACCCAAGCACTAGCCACAAAAACCTTTCACTCAGAAACTCCACTTAACGCGCTGCAAAAACTTTCATGGAACTCTCACAGAAATAGGACCTATTACATTTTTATTATTATTTTCCCGTCATCCGAGAACGTGCGGCGAAATTTATGCCTCTTCGATAGGTCGATTGAAAAATGGACTGTCGTTGTAAAACATCTTATTGTAGAACAAACTATCGGCCAGCCAAACTTCTGAATCGCCCAAGGCCTCAGAACTTTACCTCTTAAAAAGATAAAAACATTTTTTTGTCGTCTCTTGCAATTAATGTGATTATTCAATCGGTTTTTCTACTTTTAATTTGGTAAAAAAGATTTGGAGAACTTCAATTGGTGCTAACTGCAAAAGTTCGGATGGGCGAAGGGTTTTTGATGATTAAATCTTCGCTCATTAAGGCTATTTGATGGAAATAAAATTCTTCTTCTTGCGGAGTTGGTAGCGAGTTTAAATTGGAAAACGTCATTTGCGTCCTCTGGGAAATCGATTAGTGTGAGACTGAGTGGTGAAAACAATTTAATTTCATTATGCGAGACGAGCCTCGGTCGATCTCTTTGGCAAATTCGGTCGGGTGATTAATGGCTGAGCGCGGGACGAGGCGCTGATCGAAATCCGCCTCGCCGAGCCAAATATGTAGCAAAGAGCTCGGAAAAAACAGACGTTGCGATAAGTTAGCTCTCAAACCGAGCAGTCAAATTGAATTTTTGGCCATTTGTCGGAAGGATAAATGTGAAGATTGGCAATAATGGGATAATATGGAGAGTCAGCACTTTTTGTTCCAAGTTCTTTCATTATTAATTGGAGGGATTTTTCACTTTGTTTCAGCTCAATCACCAAAACTTGAAAGTGTCTTCGCTGCTAGCGGCTCGCATTATTAAACTGCCCTACATTGGGCAGCCGGAATACATGTCTGTCAAGAAGTACGAGGTCATGACCGAGGTCATCTCGACGGACACACCCTTGCATCCTTCAGAACACGTGCCTTGGTGGGTGGTGGTGCTTTCGGCGTGCGTCGGTGCTGCCATCCTCATTCTCCTTGTCTTCCTTCTCTGGAAGGTAAGTGAAAGTTTTTAATTTTTTTTAAATTAAAAAATTCTGATTTTATCCATTTTTTACTGAGACATAAATTTTGATTAATAAAATTAATAATCATTAAAATATTCAAATAAGAGAGGTAACTTTTAAAATGGGGTGACAATAGGAACTTTACATTAAAATGAAAATTTTGTTAATTAAAAAAGCAGTAAAATTATTTTACAAAAGTATCATTCTTTGTTTCGGAAACCATCTTATTATTTCGCTCTTTTTACATTAAAAATCGATTACTGTACACAATTGTGTTGATAGACCGTCGGGGTAGAGCACAAACACAATAATGTGTCCCCCGAGAGGATGTTTCCAAGACAGCCAGCTCGTCGTCGGCGATGATTTATAGCGAAAACATAGTTATAACAAGTGCGAACAATTTTATTATTGGCGCACGCATCGATTGTTCCTTTTCGTTACTCACGCGTCATAAAGTAGAAGCATCGCAAACACGTAATAATGGGATTGTTTTCGCATCTCGGCTTTCAAAACTCGGCACAGAGGGAGAAATCGATCGGATCCTTTATCGGCGTCCGCAAAATTCAGCAAATATATTTCATCTCGCATTCCGCCCTTTGGAATTCATATGCTTGCCTCGGGACATTATCATAATGGAGCAGGGGCGGATGCCGGTGCACAAGTGGGACGCGCAGAGCAAAAAAGACGACAGTGAGACGCAACCACTCGAGCTCGTCAGCATAAGTCACACGATGGAGAGCGTGGTTGATTTATCGAGAGAGAGCAGTTTGTTTGCCTTATTCTCGCTTTGAGCGAGGGGCGCAGAATGGCACCCCCTTTAAAATATACGGATTGAATAATCAGTGCGGAAACTCGCCATTTCGCTGTCACAAGAATTATACGAACTAGTCTCAAGTAGAAATTGCTAGATCTGATGACCTAGTTTGTATTAATTTCACAAATGACTGAATATCGGAAATATATTGGAAACTGATTCATCTAAAAATGGAATAAATTTTTTTATTAATTATTAAATATTATTATCGTAATGTTTTTAAAAACTACCATCAGATATAAATCAGATTGTTATTATTAATTTAGATTGAACAGATAATATTGAAAATAATAAAGAAGAATGAGACGGATAGGAATACTAGGGGTTATTCACTATGTCTCTGATTTTATATTTGCAGTTTTCTGATTCAATTATTTTTTAACTAACGTTGATTTCCGAATTAATTTGCAACACGTTTTAATCTATAAGTGAAATGGAGACGACGTAGGGGAAACGTTGCGCTAGCAGTGAGAGCGACGACACATCTCGTTTGCCGATATTTACCAGAATCGCCAATACACTCTACCGCACCTAACCAACTTGCGGGCTAAGTGCGTCGCGTGCGATGGAAGAGCGCTGATGGAATGCGTTGATGTTGATGGAATGCACACACACAAAAGAAACACTCTTATTCTGTTAAAATCTTAAAGAAGCCGGAGGCATCGCTTTTATTGGGTGCCTTATAGATTTTACAAAGTTCTGTTTTACGTCTATCTTTGTTTGATTTTAATTGACTTTAATTTATATTAATTAATTTGAATAAAATAATTAAGTTAATTATTTTATTTGAATTTACTTTTTGATTTGAATTAAATTAAATTTGGAAAAATGTTTTGTTTTGTGTTTGAAGTTTAATTGTTTTTAATGTGGAATTTTTAATTTTAATTTATTTTTTGTTATAAATTGAATGAATTTAATTAATTTATTTTTAAGTAAAATTATTGGTCTCAAATATCCGCCCCTTTTTGAAAAAAAATTTCAAAATGGAATTTTTTGAAAGAGTTAAATTTAAATTTTGAGGCGAAATGATTTTACGTTAAATTCATGAAAAAATTGTGTATCTGGAGTCTTCGTGTTCTTCTTTCTTCCAGCTCTTCTTTCTTGGTGGTCAGTGAAATTTTCTAGAGCTACGAGGGCTCAGAAACTTTCTTTTGCTACTCAGGCAATCAAAACTGCATTTCACTGACCGTCTCTCTTAGTCGCGACTAGGCAACGAGAGTTTTCGCAATCACAACTAGGCGAATGGAAAATTTTGAATTGGGACTTGAGACAAACATTTTAAAAACTTTTTTTTGTGTTGGCTTTGAAAATTTAAATTGCTACAGTGGCAATTTATCTGCACCACAACTGGGCGGTGTCAGATGATTTTAATTTTAGCCGCTACTTGGCAGCATTAATTTTTTCGCGACACTACTAGGCGTCTGCGAATCAGATTTGAAATTGATTTTGAAATTATTTTTAATGTGTTGCCAATTCTTTTTTTTTTTTAGATGAAATTTTTGTGAAGTTAAATTTTGTCGTCCTCGGGGGCCTTTGTAAATAGCCACCGACGTGTGAAAAAGTTGTTTTGCCGTGAATCTTTGTGATCACATTTGGCGAGATTAATCACCAATTAATCTACTGTCGCAACGAGGCAACAGTGATATTGGGGGTTCTCCACTTGAACTGTTGTCATCCGTGGGTTGAAATGGCAAATCAGCTGGCCTGCCAATTTCGGGGTGCTGCTGAGAAGGACGCGGCGAAGGGTGCGGCTGTGGCAAGTTGCGCGGCTCGTCACGCTGCTCTTGCGTTGTTCTCCTCTGGAGCGAGTGGTCTCCACCACCGTGAACGATGTCGAGGGTGGCGGGTGAATTCTTCTCCTGGTGCACTTCTTGGGGAGAATTGTGCGGCTGGAGGTTTTTCTCCCTTCTGGAAGGTGGGCCTCGGCGGGTCACTTTCGTTTTTTCACACACACGATTGTTCGGAAAATAATGCACGTTACGCTGGCTCCGCTCGAACTTGCGAGCAAAGCCGGAATCGCTACCTGCTGGGGCAAGCGAATGCGTGTACACTCGGCGATCAAGCAAAAATTTGAAGACTGTCCGTCATTCACTTTGGTTGCCTCTGAGTTGTGGCATTCCTTCTTGAATGGAATTTCGTCCTCTGGTGGTGTTGCTTCTACTTGGAGGTCAAATGCATAAATCCGCGTATTACTTTTTCACAATTTTTGTGTCCGAATTTTGTTCGCAAATTTGGTGTTGAATTATTGTCGAACTTGGCGTGGGAGGTGAAAAGAAGGTTTCCTGTCGAGGGTCGAATGACTGGCTGGCGGTGCGGCGGCCTCGGTGTCTGTCTTTGGCGGCGCCTCGGACTTCGCTGCACGCTTTTGGTCACAAGTCCACTCCGAAGGGGTGATTGTTGGACGAACTAAAAGTCCATCCGCCCTTGGGAGCCGTGGGGTGGCTCACCCTGGGGTGCTTCTAAAGCAAACGAGGATTTTGAAGTTCCTTCCATTTCAGATCAAATAACACGAGTTTGCCCACGGAATTTTCGTACAGGCGTCCTTTTTTTATAAATTCTCGGGCTGCGAGTATAAAAAGTTGGACCTCGTATAATGTTTTAAATCAACGGAAAATTGTTCTTGACGTTAATTGGTTGGCCAAACTAAACCAGAAAACAAGGCCGAGCCCCCATGCTTGAGACGGCCGAGCCCCCATGCTTGAGACGGATAGGAATACTAGGGGTTATTCACTATGTCTCTGATTTTATATTTGCAGTTTTCTGATTCAATTATTTTTTAACTAACGTTGATTTCCGAATTAATTTGCAACACGTTTTAATCTATAAGTGAAATGGAGACGACGTAGGGGAAACGTTGCGCTAGCAGTGAGAGCGACGACACATCTCGTTTGCCGATATTTACCAGAATCGCCAATACACTCTACCGCACCTAACCAACTTGCGGGCTAAGTGCGTCGCGTGCGATGGAAGAGCGCTGATGGAATGCGTTGATGTTGATGGAATGCACAAACACAAAAGAAACACTCTTATTCTGTTAAAATCTTAAAGAAGCCGGAGGCATCGCTTTTATTGGGTGCCTTATAGATTTTACAAAGTTCTGTTTTACGTCTATCTTTGTTTGATTTTAATTGACTTTAATTTATATTAATTAATTTGAATAAAATAATTAAGTTAATTATTTTATTTGAATTTACTTTTTGATTTGAATTAAATTAAATTTGGAAAAATGTTTTGTTTTGTGTTTGAAGTTTAATTGTTTTTAATGTGGAATTTTTAATTTTAATTTATTTTTTGTTATAAATTGAATGAATTTAATTAATTTATTTTTAAGTAAAATTATTGGTCTCAAGAATTGGGAATTTACTCTTCATCAGTTTAAAATTGCTCTGAAAAAATTAATGAAAATGAAATTGTAAAAATTGCTTTAAATGTTACCTTTTTTTCAAATTTAGTTTCCTATATCAACCAATATCTACAAAGAATTTGTACGAGTTCTCTATAATGAAACCAAAAATATAAGTTTATATTTATTTGTATTTAAATGAAATCTTTTCTTAACAACCAGAGAAAATAACTAAAACAAAAAAAGTGGAAATGGGGAAAAAAAATTCATTATTCAGAATCTTATCTTATTTTCTACGCTCTCAGTGCAATTTTAGATAAAATCGCGGGCCAGAGTTGACAACAAACACACTCGGACCTAATATAATTAAAACTCACAAAACACGGTGTTGCAAAAAGTTTCCCGGCGTTTTATTCGCAGGTGCGAATGGTCCCAGTGAAAGCAATTTCGTCCTCTCCACCTTCTTCTCGCCGTGTCAAGAGAATGGGAAGCGCAACTCGTCACCCGCGTCAGGAAACATTAGACAATAATGAAAAAGCGCCTGCACCTAGATTCGGGCGGCGGCTCTCGCGGAACATTCATTTTACCTGCCACTCCAGAAAACCGAGTTAGGTCGCGACGAGAAAAGCGAAAAGCGGCGTTTCTTTCTTTTTGCACAGCTTGTGCAGCAACCGCTATGCAACCGGCACGACGCGCGAGCTGAGCGCATTGTATAGTCACAATAACGAACGGTGACGTTTAAGCAAGATTGAAGGCGGCACTCGGAGTGCAATTATTATTCTAGCTGTGCGGGAAAAGGAGGACGACAGGCAGGCAGGCAGGCAGGTCTTTGTTGTTGTACTCGGTCAAGTCCCGGCGCTGCACTTTGCGGTCTTAACAGGGGAAAAGCAGCCCTTAATCTTGTAGTGTTGTTTTGTTGTTGACGCCAGCAGCAAGTGATTTCCCAAGATTATTCCAAGTAATGGCCGTTGTCAGTGGTTTCAATTTAAGTTTTATCGCTGTCTGAGAACTGTTGCTTGTTGCGGATAAGATTCCATTTCAAGGGGAAACAATAAAGCGAGAATGAATGTGATTGAATTAATAGTTGCATTCAGAAATTTACAGGAATTCATAGAAATCATATGAAAGCAAATTAAAAATGTTTCTCAAATTATTACATTAAAGCATAAAATATTTGTTTAAAAATTAATTAATAAGCATTTTTTTAATTTCTTTTTACAATTATATCAACTCTATTTGCAAATTAGAGTTGCTTAGGTTAATTTAAATATTTACTTATTTAAAGATTAATTTAAACTAATAATAAAAAACTTAACAGAAATTTTTTTATTTATTTTAATTTAATTATTTTATTTAGTGTGTTGCAATTATTATAATAATTTACAATAATTTTATTCTTTTGTATTTCATTAATTATTATAAAATGTAATATTTCTGATGTGATGTTTTTTTTCATTTTATGATTACTTTATAAATAAGTTGGTAACTATAAAATGCATAGAAACCTTTAAATGTTCAAATATCTTAAAATTCAGCTCTTCAGACTGTTTTACTAAATCCATAAATTTTAAGCATAAAAAACTTGAATAGAAAATTTCAACTAGCTATAATTTTGAAGCATAATCAAAATGTTTATGACCAAAAGTTGAACTTCTGATTTTATAACAAAACTTTTTGTTTGTTTCAGTGTGGTTTCTTCAAGAGAAATCGGCCAACGGCGAACACCGCCGAGAAGGAGCCGCTCAACAGAAACGGACACTACCAGCCAGGTGATGAGCCCTTGTGATGTGCCTCAGAGACCTGCTCCAACTAGAAAAGACTGGTAGTTACCAATAAATGCGAAAATGATACAACGACTACCGCCGTCTCTCGGGAGAGTCGGCGCAAGAGAAACTTTAAAAAGCAGAGTGATTCGTCCGAAAGAAAAAAATATAATAATTTTCATCACAACACTCACCATCGTAATGTGTTCTTCCGCGGGAGAGAGAAATGCGAAACTAACTTTGTCTACTCACTAAAAACAATTAGAACGAAGAAAAAGTGCTTCTCGGTTTGAATGGCGGTTGTTCTCTCTCTGTTTCTTAATAATTTATTTCGTGTACTTAATCTGGCTAATTGTGTATGCTCGGAATTATTGTCCCATGTGACTTTGCAACGATAACATTTCGGCCGGAGTGTGTTGTTTTGTTTGTGCCAAGCGCAAGTTTTCCTCTTTGTGTTTGCGGGGTCGCGCCGTGCCGCCTCGAGCTAGGCAACAAGCGTCGCAGACAGCGTATAATCTATTTCAATAGCTTTGTGTCCCGAGCTGAATGAAGACGTTGAGCTCAAAATTTTCAACAGCTTTTTCCTCTCCCTGGAGTGATATTTTCATTTTCATTTCTTCAATGAAATGAAATTTCTCCGGGTGAGGCAGGTGACAATGGGAAGGCTAAATTTAGTTTTTGGCAAATAAGCTGGTGGAATTTTCCTCAGTGGAGAAACTCCTTTGAAATCCTGCACGAAAGTAACTTGAAGCCCTCATCTTGTTTAATTAGACAAAACACGAAACTTCTCAGACTTGAGATAATCTTTGCCGTTTTCCTTTTAATTAAAATTGAATGCTCAAGATATCTTCATTAAAAGAAAATTAATTAGTGAAAGGTTAATTAATTCAGGCTAAATTTGGAGCACTAGAAGATTAAAAATTTTTTTTTTGCTTCAAGAATAGAAAAAAATTTGTGTGCTTCTGGAACAAGCATATTTTAAACATTTCCTCTTTACTTCAAGTGCGATAAAAATCCATCGTTTTCAAGCCGCAATTGTAAAAGTAGGGTTGCGTCCTGTCTTGAGCAGGCCCATTTAAGCCTTAGCAGACTTTCTTGCAAGAAGTCTCTGGCAAAGTCCTTAAACGTGTCACAATATGTATCTGGCAGGCAACCTTTTCTTTGTGTTAGCAATAAAAATCACGCTCAAAACTTTTAATGGATCCGCCGCCTGTAAAAGCAAAAGAATCCTTTCCATTTTTTCCGCTGCTCCTTTTTTCACTCACGCTGCTATATTGATTTAAGCAGTTTTATCGCAACAAAGAGGCAAGTGGAAACTTTTGTGCTGATGAGTTGTGTGCTTTTTGATTAGTTCGTTAACTGCAGCACTGACTTCTCTCTAAAAAAAGGCACGGCCAATTAAAGCGCGAACTCTCCATCCACGCTCCGGCCGAGAATATATTTTCACCAAATTGTTTTATCCGGAGATTGTTCTTTAACCGGCAGCTTTAGATCTATGACGGAAAATCAAACCGAAAAAGTTTTTATTTTTTAGGAATAAATTTTATGTACTAAAAAAATGTGCGCATTGTGTATGTATGTGTTTGAAAAGTTGCACCGTGAGCCAGGTAAAAAAATGTAAAAATTAATTCTTTTCAACTTGTTTCTGTTCGTGTAACTCATGTACATATAAACCACGTAAATTTTATTGGCGATTAATTTTACTTGCAGTTAATAAAGGCGAAGAGATGAAATAAATATCGAAAATTGTCACCACCTGTCTTTTTTTTCAACTCGTACACCATTGTCGTCGTCATTCACATTTTATTGCCCTTTGTCACTGTTTCCATCATCATGGGGCGACAATAAAAGCCAACCGACCAGTCAGGTATGACACGGCGTGCCAAGTTGGCGCGCCATCCAAACCTTTATGGATGCATGTGTGCGGCGCTTGAAATTGAAAAGTTGAAATTCAAAGGCGTCGGGATGGAGGGCGATTTTTGCCCGTTTTATTGTGGCGGGCGTTTGTGTGTTGGGTGCAATTTGGCGGAATGTCACAATAATGGTCCCGTTTTTTCGCTGGCCTGTACTTTTCGCAACACGGTGACGACGACGATTTCCCCGCTTTTTTCATGACGCGGCCGCTTTTCCTGCCTCACGACCTGCTGACTGGACAAAAGTTGGCTTGGGACTTCACCTCCTTTGCTGCCAGAGGGGCTACATCATTATTTACCCTCTAACCCACATCACCATTAAATGTAATAATGATTCATATATTTGATCTTTTCTCAAAATCAAATCATTTAATTTTTTCTGTCAAAAAATAGGAAATCATTAAAACATTAATTTATTTTTACATATTTTGCTGCTTTTAAAAAGTAAAAGATTTAAACGAAATGTTAAAATTCAAAAGAAGAAAAAAACTATGGCAGTGTCTCTTGCATTTGATTGATCTCTTAATTTTTCTATGTATCTCTCCACTTTAATTTGAAACACTCGCCGCTCGTTATGAGACGGAGCATAATTAGTACGAACTTCTCGGGGGACCTAATTTGACATCACTTCATTCCGCTACTTCCACTTTTTTTTTTAGCAAAAATCGCCTCCTCTTCATCTCCTTTGCATAATTCACGAAAGAGGCTGAACAAACAGGACAAACTGCGAAGGACTCTCAAAAAGGTCCACTTGTGCATCTTGCCGACGTCGTATGGTAAATTAAGCTCGAAATTTACAAGAATTTCCCCACCACCTGTCTGCAATGCCACCTGTGTACACTTTTTTGGCCGAGGAAGTTTTTGTGAAAAATACAGCTGCGTGGTATAAATCTGAGAAAGCTCTTACATTCGCGTGCCTGGAAACTTATTACGCCAAAAAAACACGTGACTTATCACTCTTGGAATTAAACCCAAAAGAAACACCAAAAACGCGTGGCATAGAAGAATAAATTGAAGAACATGTAAAAGTGAATTTTTTTCATTATTATATAATTAAATATTTTATTTCTGAATTTAATATATTGAAAAGCTCAAGTTCTGGGCAATTTATTTTTTAGCAAAAGTAAACATGCTTTCATTTTAGGAGGATGGAAAATTTTTATATAATGCTTGGTTGTACAATGTAAAAATTCTTCTTGCATCAGTTTCATACGTCCAAGTTTTCCACTTTTGACTTCTAAAAACAACGTTCACAATTCACGGCATCACAAAATATATACGGCACTCTCCATGTCGTTCATTCATTTGCAGCATCCGCCAACCTCTTGCCGTCTGTCGGTTTATTTGATTACAACTCGAGAGACTCGACTCCAGAGAGCGCAAATCGGCTTTCCTTAATTACGCGTCGATTTTGTTCGTTTCTAATAAAATTAAGCGCGCAGTGCCTCGAAATAATTTTTCAAAAGCCCTCGGGGAATTCCGTCGACGACGATAGAACTTTGATCGCAATTTTTTCATCAACTCGTGAAAAGAGGCATAAACAAATCGACAAAGCAAAAAGGACGGAATTGGAATGCGCTGAGTGATCGCGAGAGGCTGCGAGTGGCCCTCAACGTTCTTAATTCAATCAAGAGATAATCGAGCAGATGCAATCTACGTGATTTCCATTTCCAAGAAGCCCAGCGTCCTTTGCGAGCGCATTGGAGCGTCTGCTCGATCAATACTCGATATTTAATTCGCGCTCGTTAGAGCTCTGGTAATTATCCGCTGGCCGACTTGAAAGAGAAAGAGAGAAACCAGAACGGCTCTCGAGTTTAATCTGCCGATTAGCGCAAACGGCCGAGTTTTGCTCAGTAAGCTCTTGCCAAACGTCACGGACAGGTTTCGACGACCCGACGAGGTACAACTATATTTATCTATCATTAGTCACCAAACTACTTTGCCGTTTATAGTTCTTGATTATAAATCATAGATAGAACGTCTGATTGATGTGTCCAAGTTTACTTATGAATGGCTTCGGTCCGAGGTTTGACCTTTTCATCAAGTTTAATAATTCCATCTGATTACTTATTGCGTTGAGTGATTTCAAATTCTGAATTCCACTAAAAGTAACAAAATATGTTGAACTATTCAGAAAATGCAATAAATATTCGCATTTAATAAATATTAAATTCTCACTTACGTGTATATTACCAATGATATTTTCAATGATAAATAATAATAAAAAGTAGTTTTGATTTTAAAGACCTTCATAAACTTATAATCGATATGAAACATTTCAATTGTATAAATTGCAGTCCTAAAAATCAATTTTGCATGTACTGATGTCCCAAATTTATTCATACATTTGCCAAATCCTGCTCACTTGATGTTTTATATTTTGTAGTCGTCGTGGAGCTGGGATTTATTTTTCGTAAGCCGCAGAAACTTTGAAATAACCGTACAGCAAAGTTTTCTTCCAAGGAAAAAGTCAAGATTTTGTTCTTGTAAAAGTTGCAGACTCCTACAAGTTTTCAACCCAGCCAGAAAATTCCAAAAGAGAAATTCTACAGACTAGGCTTTTGAGCGCTTGATCTTCAACCATTCGCTGAAAATGTATGCTTTTGATTAATCTAGGAGCAGAACCGCTTAGTGCCGCCCCAACTTTCGCCGGCCGATCAAATAACTCTCTGCCGGTGATTAATTGGGAGTTAAATTTCGCAGCGGACTTCTGGAAAGGAGCCAATTGACGATTTAGTAAAGGAGCCGCAGCCCAGATCTCACTAATCACGAGCATATTTTTTTCATACCCTTGGAGGGAAATAATGGAACGAGCGGCAACGGCGTGCGGTCAGAAGCGCGAAATTCGACCAGACGTACACACTGATGCTCCTTTTTGGCTTCGGTCAGAGTGGGTGCGCAGCAGCGGAACTGATTTACATCAGCGGAAACAAATTCAGACAGAAGCTTTTGTTTTGGTCTACGCAGTTAGCAGCCCAACCACTTACACGTTGTAAGAGGCGTTAGTCTAATAATTATTGTTTCTTCGGAAATGTAAAAGTGTAATTTAAAATTAACACGCTGTTTGGGGTAATGATTGAAATCATATTAAAATTATAAATAATATTCATAAATTTTACATGTTAATATTAGTTAATACAATCTAAATTTGCTCTTATCTAAAGAAATTTTTATAATTTTATATAAAAATAAAAATTAGTTTTATGATTATTAATATTTAAAATTTAATAAAAATAATAATTATTTTAACGATTTTGTTTTTTCTTAATTATTAAAAATTATATTTAAATAATTATTGTTTCCTTTTTGACATGCATAAAAATAAAAATATCGTTAATGAATATTTGCCGTGCCTCAAGAGAATGTAGAAGTTCAATTTTGTTAGCTTCTTAAACCATCACCGCAGTATTATACATAGTAATAATTTCTTGTTGAGATGGAATAAATCTCAACCAGTCTTTCTTTTTAACTAAAAATGAAATCATTAAAACACTCGCTGGATAATTACAGTTCTTATCCGATCTGTAAAACGTACATACATCATTAAAAGTGAATGCCTTTTAATTACTTGCGACAAGTGCAGAGCACGCGTGGTTTGCACTCACCCTAATGACTGCACTGACAATTAGGAGGAAAAGATCAATTAGAGGAAGGAATTTTCTTTTCAACAAATACAGTCATAAGTAAAGTCAATATCCCGCATCCGCCCATGTACATTTATCCGTCGTTCGAAAGCAAGCAAAAGCGAACGCACTCGCTGGTTAACGTCAGCAGAACTAGTTTTTCAAAAGGCCCGCATTCCAGACGACATCGGGAAAGATCAAGTGAGGTGAATGGGTAGCAGACAAATATTTTTGGTTTATTTATTTCTTTGACACGAGGAAGATTTTTTTGCCAGTTCCAATGAATTTCGCTGAACATTCGTACGGAATTTGTCTCGAGAAGCGAGTCGCGAAATGGGCGAAAGGATTTTTATGACGTTTTAAATTGTTTGCGGTCTTAAGAGGAATTATTATTACATTGCACTGGAAAACGAGGGCGAGCTCTTGGAAGTAATGGAGGCCGGCGCATTAACAAAGGAGAGTCGGAGAGAGGCTTTTCTCCTAGAGACGTTCTCTAGAATAAGCTGCATTCCTCCTCCTAAATGCTTTCGTTTTTCTACTTCTTCTGCCTGAAGGGAAAAATTACATTAATACCTCTCGGTCCGACAAAACCCACTTGCGCCAGTACTGTGCTGTGCAAGCAGATGTTGCAGTACCGTTAATTTAATTAAATTTCCAAGCGGCTGATTCTTTATTTAATTTTCCGCCAGTTAGATGCACACTACGCTGGTTTAATAAAAACTATAATAAAAAGGTGTATATGCAACCTGTACGGCACAGTTGTGCAGCGGGTTGCATATCCATTTCTTTAGCGGGCGTTTACTGCGCGTTAAAATAAAAATTTATTAATTTATATAATTTTCCATTAATTAAATAAGACATAATTTTATTAGGCAGAAAAAAATTATTTTATTTTTCCATAATAAAAAGGCGTCAGGTATTTGAAAATTGTGTTTTTATTGATTTATTCATTTCCGATATATAAAATATTTTCGTTATTTACATCTTCACGACATGTCAAATGAATTAGTGCATTTTACAACAATGTAGTAGAATAGCAATTTAATCGTAACATTACATTTTTAGTACCATATTTATTTCGTTTTTCTCGGATAAATATACAGTTCACACGACAGCAGCAGCAACGCATTTCTGGTTCAGTTAGAATAAGGCTTGGGAAACAATATATTGTATTTTCACAAAGTATAGGCTGCGGGGAACACATTCATGAAGTACATATGAGAGAGCTGCACAATGAAAACGGAAAACCAATTATCATTTTATTATTGTTATTATGTTACTACCGCTCCTACCATAAAATTTACCTGTAGCACACTTACGTCAGAGATTAAAAATATTTACGTTAAAGTAATTATAACGCAAGAAAAACAGTGAGAACCATAAAAGTGTTAATCCGCGATCACGCACACAAACTGCGAGCAGGTCAAAAACGTCAATTGGAAACATTTTGTGGGTTTCGTGGGTGCTTTGCCGTCGCCGCCGAAAATAAATAAACTGAGAAAAATATATGCTCTGCTCTCTTTGCGACCTTCCCGGAGTAAGAAAAATTTCTTTGCCGTGCATGTATAAAAAGCAAAACTTTTAGGAAGAAGCTCTCACGCTCCGTATTTTTCTCCTCCACCACGAAGCAGCGCTTTTCTATAATTTTTTTCAAATTTATTTTCACATAGACACTTGAAGAGCAAACCCGCAGATCTCTCGCTCGACACAGCCACAGAAACGCTCTTCTTCCACTCAAAGTTTTATTTTATATAAAAGATTTTATTTCACGAATCTGCCGAATGTTTTTATTTTCTATATTTTCATTGAATATGGCACAGAGATATAAAAACCACGCTCACTCTCAAGAGTCCTCGCCGATTACTGAAACTCGGGAGGCGGCTCGATGGTGCACGTCGTCTCTAGGGTGTCCGACGAACTGGTCGCTGTCATCGTCAGCGAGGTCTCCTGTTCTCAGCTGCCGACACCGTTCTTGAGCGGCGTCCTTTGCAGCTCAGGGTCTTTGGTGATCTCGTCAATGGTGGCGATCGTCACGAAACTGACCTTTCCGTTCGACTTTGTAGTCAACTTCCCCGTGGACAACATCGTGGCGTACTTGCCTATGTCCTCGGACAGGCGGTCTGGGTTGCTGAAGATGGCCTCGTTTTCTGCACTCGTCCCCGGGATGCGATCGTCCTCCCGGGTGTAGTAGTGGGCGGCGTGTCTGCTGTGGGACAATGCCAAGAAGATGATGACGATTAGAATGAGCAGAACGGCCAACGCAGTGGCGCCCAGGGCTGCCAACAGACCCATTCTCGGGAGGAATCCGGCCACCAAGCTCTGGTCAGAGGTGTAGTCGCCGCTGGTGCCGTGGTTGCACCAGTCAAGACTGCCAGTGTCCAATGAACTCAGGGTCATTCCGGCCACGGCCCTGGGACTGGCACAGCGAAGGCACTCGATGTGATTCGAGTCCAGGTCGCAGTCAATCTCCTCCCTGCCCTCCTGTTTTGCGAATCTGGAAATCCAGGCAAGAATCGGGCCAATGTGGCACTGATCGCACTGCCAGGGGTTGCCCTTCAGCCTGACCATGATTCCCTCAGAGCCGCGGGCCTTGACCGCCATAACCTCTCCTCCAGCCCCCTGACCGTCTTCCGAATGCTCAAGTCTGTCCACCAGACGGTCGTTGAGGCCCCGGAATTTGTTATTAGACAGATCGAGTTCTTTCAGTTTAGTGAGAGGGGAGAGAAGTTGGGCCGGAAAGTGCTGGAACTGGTTGTAGGATAAATTCAGGAGGCGGATGTGTTCGTGAAAGACGAACACGCCCAGAGGAAGGGTGGTGAGACTCATGTTGGAGAGGTAGAGCTCCCTCAGTTTGAGCACCGCCTGCAGGACGACCTTGAGATTTTCCTGTTCAATGTGGTTGCCGCTGAGGTTCAGGGTGCGAAGGGGTTCGCCGATCGGCTCAAAGGAAACTGCTTCCAGAGAGCTGAGTTTGTTGTAGGAAACGTCCAAGGTCTGCAGATTGGTGGCGTTGACGAAGGCGTTGTTTGTGATTTTGGCGATGCGGTTTCGCGACAGGGAGAGGAATTTGAGATTGGGCGTGCTGGCGCCAAAGGTCTTATCCAAAATGACGGGCAGTTGGTTGCCGGATAGGTTGAGCTCACGCAACCTCCTGAGCTCAACAAACTCGTCCGTGCGGAGGTATTTAAACTGATTCTGCGATAAGTCCAGCACTTCCAGCGAAGGGATGAGACTGTACAAATGATCGTTGATGTTTGTGAGGCCGCACGAGCGGCACCGCAATTCACGCAGGTCCATGATGTCCTTAAACACCTCTGGGTAGAGCTCGCCGAGCGGATTGTACGACAGATCAAGATGGTGCAGCTTGTTTAATAGCAGGAAGACACGAGGGACCAGCTCCTTAATGTTGTTGTGTGACAACGTCAGCGCCCGCAACTCAACCATGTGCTTGAAAGTGTTGCTCGGCATGGAATCGATATGATTATGGTCGAGGTGCAGAGAGCGCAGCTCGACCAGCCCGCGGAAGTTTTTGTCGGTGATCTGCCGGATGCTGTTGTGCGTCAAGTCCAGCTTCTGGAGGTGCTTCAGGCCCCAGAAAGAGTGTTCGCCGATGGCGGGCACCTGCGACCGCGAAATCGTCAGCTCCTCCAGTTTTTTCAGCGACTGGAAAATGGGCCCGATAGTGAGCACGTTGTACTCGTTTTCGGGCGCCGTGATGACGAGCACCTCCGTCTCCGGGTTGAGACTTGAGGCGGGGATGGCGAGCGTCATCCGGCCCGAGTCGCACGTGGTTTGGCGCCGTCCTGATACGTCAAGGGTGCACACGCACATCGAGGGGCACGTGGACACCGAGTTGCCGCTGCCGTAGCACTCGCGGAGGGCAGCGTTGTGCAAGAGCGCGACCAGCAGCACCGAGAAAACCCTCATCTGTGAACACAAGAAAAGTAATTGTTAAAAACTGCATGAATTACTGAAATAACAAACAACTTATTTAAAAGTAAATTTTATGCTATAAATAATGACCCACAATTAATTAAAACAACTGCTAACTATTGGATATCTAAACAATTTTAAAACATCCAAGAAAACAAGCTTGGAAATGATTTAAATTCGTGTATTTCTTTTTTTCTAACTTTTCAAATTGTATGATTTCACGTTAAATGCAAATAAGAAAAATTTATTTTAATTAATTTAAACTAAGGAATATTTGAATAAATAATATTATTATAAATTATGCGGTTCAAATTTGTAATTCGCAAAAGAAAAAACAGAAAAACTTCATTGTAATGAAAAATTCCTTGAGGGCAATTTGTGTTCTTGCCAAAACAAACTTAGTCATTTCGGACTGTTTTTAAGCAGTACAAATTAGCAACTTCATAACTTTATCAAAGTTTCGAGACTTCCTGCTGCCGTATACCAAAGTTTGTTTCCTTCCGAGATTTTAGTCCGCGTGTGCCTTATTACGTATTAATGGAGTTTAATGCGACTTGTCGGCAGCGCATTTGGAGCCGGCAGCGCTCCTCCGAGTGCAATTGTTACACTCGCCTGTGCGGACGTGTCCCACTTAAACGGGAGGCGCACGAACAAACAAACTGTCTCTCTCTCGCGCGCGCTTTGTTATGAGTGAAATTAAGTGACGCCTGAGCAAAGAAGCCCGCGTCGCTCTGTGCAAATTTTGCATTCCCTTTGTGCTGGGCGAGACGCTCAGGTACACTTTTCGACCGCCGATCGATCTGGGCTGGGCAAGTTCGGCCAGTCGGCTGGATGGTGCCCGGAAACTTTGTCTTTGCGTTATCGTGTGTTTGTTTTGCCCAGAATCGTTAATTCTGCCGTTTCCTTTGTACATAGCATGTTAATTTTCAGCGCTTTGGGTTGGGATCGGAAGCGGCTCGCATTTGTGTAGCCGTGCAAAGATAAACTTTGAAATAACACGTGGAGAGTGTGGACCTAAATCAATTATGTGACAAAGCATAAATTGCCTAAAAAAAATTGCAGCCTTCAAAAAAGGGCAACGGAGATTTGAGAGATGCATTTATTCAAACAAATAATAAATTATTCTGCGTTGTTTCTTTTTCACAAATCAACCATACATTGATTTTTTTTTCACGTCTGAAATTTGTTTTGCTCAATAGAGAAGAACAATGCTTTCCAGCACGCACCAGACCGGCTACCGTGCTGGGAAAAACAACATGAAATTTCCATATCAGCTGAGCATGCAAATACGGCGCAAACACCGTGCAGTCTGTCCCAGGGTTTGCAACTGCCTGAATAAACTACACACACACGTGCTTTCATTGTGGCAAAAAACAAACGAGCACGCTCGGCAAGTGTGCCTATCGAACGCTAATCTAAATTGACTCGAAGCCATCAATCATCAAGAGCTTCGTCGATGCGGTGAACGCCTGGAGGAAAAATGTTTTATTTTTTATTTTTTATTCCCCAGCGAAAATTTTCCGTGGCCTTATTGCGAGAGCAGAATGAGCAAAGTCTTGTGATGAATGGTGCGGAAAAATTTATAATAGCGGAGAGACGAGCTGCTGGAGCACGTGGCAAGTAAAATGAATATGAGAGGGTGTGTGAAAGTCGGGGCATGCCGCATCTGATAATGCCGGGTCCCTATTAAAATTGGTCTGCGCTGCTCGCTCGCTACGTGTTAAGCCGCAAGTCAGGGAGGACGCGTTTGATTTCCAGCCGCTCCACCAGGGCCATTAATTATTTTCGTTGTAATTTACACGGAGAGGCCTCCTAAGTGCTCTCCACGTATTAAACTGAGAGGCAATTAACATGATTGGCGAGATGCAGGAAAAATTACAGCAACAGGAACAACCGAATATTAAATTTTGCATCAATTAATGTTTGAAAAAAGTTGTTCGACGGATTATTTCAATAGTTTTTTAACTCTCAATTACGAAATAAAAATGTGTGTAAGTAATTAAAAAGTGATATAAACCATCAATCAATTGTTAATTAAAAAAATTGTAAACATTCCATACTTATTTATGGGAAATAATAATTTTCAATGAAAAATTTAGCAAGATTGGTTAAAATTTTCGTTTGTTTAATTACTTTTATCTTTATCCTGTTATCTAAATTTTTGTGCAATTGATGTTATTTGCGATTAAAACTAAAACTTAGTCAACTGCGGCGGATAAGTTCTTTTTGATCTCGGAAGTTTTAGAAAAATTCTTGCCGTATTTTCCAAAAATTCCTTTTTTTTTAATGAATTAGCAATTAAATATAAACAATGTATTGTAACAATTTGGACAAATAAACAACAATAATTATTATAATTGTTCATAAAAATGTCTCATTTATTATTTGAATAAATTTTCATTTTCCATGCTTTTGAACTTATTATTTTATAATACTTTTGGTAAAGTTTTAGATTAATTTATAAAACAATTAAATTACATGAGACGAAGAACTACAAATTCTATGTTCACAAAATTAACACAATTCATCCGCGCAGTGTTAATTAGAGCCGCCAAAGGCAAAATGGGGTTTCAAATTGCGAGTATTAACTTGTCTCGAATTTCATCGTTCGCGAACTCGCGGAATTACATCATCATTGTTTCCTCTCTCGAGCACGTTTGCGAGAATTGGCGCTGCGTGTTTTAATTATTGCTGCGGAACACACACTGCTAGTTACAAATGCACATACAAGTTCCATGCAGCACAATATAAATTCCATTTGGATAAGTGAACAAGTCGAGTGCGTATGTTTTGTCAGCGGTTATTACATTAGCACACAACGTGGGTCCGCCGCCGCCGCCGCTGAATAGAGAGAACGCGAACCGAAATTAAAGTTTTCGGTCGGCAAACGCATCCAGGGATTTGAGATCGTAAAGGCGAAAATTTGCCAGTCTGGCTCGCCACAATATATTTTATTAATAGTGGACTCGGTCGGCTATAAAGCTGCCTAGGGTGGAGCTTGGGTATAAATATTTTTCACCCGCGCGTCGGATGAAATAATCTCGGCTGTCGCGCAACTCTGTGCATTATTAGCGATAACAAGCTGCTGGTTGTTGCGAGGACTTGAAAATAACGAGGGAGATCCTTTTAACAATGCTTAACAAGATCTGGGGCTATTAGATTTGCAAAAATAAGCGTTATCTTTTAAAGTATGCTTAGTAATTTAGGATAATTGAAAATCTTGACACGAAAATGTCACTTTAATGAGTGCTAACTAATGAAATAATTTAACAAACTTCACTGTCGGTTTTTCAACGTTTCTGAATGGAAAATGAAAAAAAAAATTAAATAACCAGATATATTATATAAATAGGTAAGTAAATAAAACTATAAAATATAAAAGAATTAGTATATAAATAAATAAAATAAGAAAAAAAATAAAAAAAAATTTTGAAATAAATAAAAATTAAATAAGTAAAGAAATTATAAAACAATCAAATTATTTATATATTTTATTTTATTTTATTTAAATATTTACAAATTCCTTCTAAAGTGAATAAAGCTAATTTTGAATTGCCCTGCGCTTCTCTTACAAGAATTGCGGCCCAAAATGAGGTATTATCTGAAATTTTCCACCCAAGCCGAGCCGCGAAAACCGAGCTTGACGCAAACGTGGTCGCTGCGAGCGTTGTTCACATTTGTTCGTACCTCGCAGGAACATTATAAAGAGCTCCAAATTTTTTGCCCAACGCTGGTGAGCAATAAAAACCTCCACTTTGCAGTCGGTGTAAAAGAAAATGTCAAGCGCCTCTGCTTGTTTGCTTCTCGGGTACGGAGAAGCTGCAGCACCGAATATAATTATTCTGGCGGCGCACGCTGAAAAAGGGTTAAAAAAAGCGAGCCACCTCCGAGCGTAATTCAATTCCGCAAAGGTTGGGCGAATTTTTCACTTTTTGTCGTTTGCGGCCGGAGCAAATATTTTTAATTGACTTTCGCTGTTCTTTGAAGTGCGCCAAACAATAATATCAAGAGCCGGCCTTTTTCGCTGCTCCCCATGGGGCAAATTTTTTTATTGGATCTCGTTTTTTATTTGTCAGCAAGCATGCTGGTCGAGTAGCAAATTTTTATTGATAACCTTTGCAGGGAGGGACGCGAAACTCATAATATGAACTTTTGAACTTTGACTTTTTATATTGGGTGGAGCTCAATTTTGCATAATACCTTGTAACGATTAGTAAAACGAGGGATTAAAAGCTGATGACTCAAAAGCACTCAAATTAATTACTTGCTCATACATTGTGTTGGATTTTTTTTAATATTATGTAATTATATAAAGTGCTGATTATAAATAATAAAGAAAATTGGGTGTGAAACATGAATATTTAGAAAATAAAATAAATTAGAAAAGAATGAAATCAAAGTTATTTGCATTCAACGCAATGCAGGCAGGGAAGAGGTAAAATTTTATTAATATGTACCTATTACATTAGCAAAAGTATATTTTAAAAATATTTTAAAATATATTTAACTTTTGAAAATACTATCAGCAAGCAAATCTGAATTTAATTTCATAATTTCCGAACATATGCGATTTTAACTTAATTAATATCTGAATGTTAAGACGAAAAAGTCTCTTAATGAAAAAAACATTAAAAATTTAATTATTCAGTTAATAAAATGAATAATTTAACATGCAAAACATAATTTTTCTTAGCAACAATATATGCTCATTTTTCTAAAACGAATATAACAGCTTTTAAAATGAATTGAAATATCATAACGTTGAATGATTATTTGAATTTTTATACATCACAGATCTACTTTTAACGTCTCAGTCGCACAAATAAACCCACCCAATGCCCCATATTGCCTCAGATTTCCTGTTATTCCGCTCCAAATAAGCTGCATATATCGTAGATCACCCGATTCCAGTGGAAAAAACTCGGCACAAGACAGCTCTGGGTCTCGAGACGCGACTTGCGGTGGTGTTTCCTCCGCGCGGGATCCATTAATTTCACCTCAAGCGAGAGCGGGAGAGAGAGACATGCATGTGCATTCATCTGCAGCGAAACAAGGCATGTAATTTGATTTACTTGCTGACTAACACAGAATGGCTTAGTGAATTATCCGCCGCAACCAGCCCCTTGCATGTTGCGCAAAACTAACTGAAAATCGCGTCGAAGCTTTTGTGGAATTCGCGCAAATTGGCCGCGACTAAACCAATGATTTATTACTGACGTTTTGAAACGGTGGTGAGACCACTCCGAAGCGCCATTCAACCAACTCTCTACACCGACCGTTCAATTGACGCATAATTCAATTTAAAACCGGCAAAATCACTTGAACTACCGATTTGGAAATGATTTTTCACTCTCAGTTAATCAAATTTTCTTTAGATCATTTTCCAACTAAACATTTAATTTACTCTACGAAAAGATTCATAAATCTTTTATGGTTTAAAGCCTTTTTGTAGGTTATAAAATTTCTTTGTGAAATTGTTTAATTTATGTAAAAAAATTGAAGAAAATATATAAAATTATTGCTTTTGGAAATTTCTACAGTTCCAGAAAAAAAATTGTGTGATAAAGTAATAAACTTTTCCATTAAAATCTACGCAATCAGTATCAATTTCTGCGGATTTTGAGTTTATAATGATTGGTTGAAATTTGGCACATTCCCTTGCATGAAGACGATGAGAAAGATAATTTTGTGGATTTAAAACCTACTATTGCTCTCTAATATTTATTTTGAATAACGTAATAAACGCTTCACACACCCCATCAAGGAAACGTCGAGCGAAATTCATCAACGTGAATTTAATTGCAAAAAATTTATCCGAGTTTTGCTTTTCCTACTAACAAGATGAATTTTTCACACTTCGCTTGCAGTCCAGAGTTTAATTCGCGCCGACATGGCGCAATCGTTAGGAAAAAGTGAGGCGGCGAAGTGCGAAACTTACCTTTTACGGGGGTGATTAATCGCAGTTGGAGGGACGATTCACGCCAGCGGCAGCAGCTCTTGTCGCGATGAGATCCTCCCTCGGGGGTGCATCAAGACGGAGCCTGGAACAGAAAACAACGTCGCGCGTTTTTATTGCACCCTCTCTCAATCCGTCGTTCTGCACAGTGCCAGGCACTACCCCCGACATTTTTATTTTCACGACAATCATTAGCGGTCTGCACTCGAAAGAAAGAAGAAATTTTAGCTTAAAAATCAGGACGACTTGTTATTTTTCCTGCTTTTTAAGGGGAAGGTTCTCGATTCCAATATGCAATTTTGCGCCCATAATGATTTGTGATCACGAAGAGGGTGATTTTCATGTGAATTATTTTTGTGTGTGGCCGATCGAGGGCTTGGATGGTCGTGCACGTGAATTATTATTACCCATTGTTGGACGAATTCTGTGGTGCATAATTTTTACGCTCCGTGACTAGAGTGGCGGCGGATCACGAAATGTCGTGTGTTTTTATTCCAAGGAAATAATGCAGTATTTTGTTTTATTCTTGGATGGAATATTTTATAGGAAATTGATTCATTTTATTTTATTTTTGTAGAAAAAATCAGGTTGCAGAGATTTTACTGCAAAAAACAGAAATTAAAACTAACGAACGTGATTTTTTTTTCTGAGAAATCGCACCGGGAGACCAAATTAACAACCAACCCCTTTTTTTTGCCTTTGTCCTGTTTGCACGCAAGGTATGCATGAAAAATGGCAAGGAAATAATTGCCAGGCACCGCAAATTTAGTAGAGCATGTTTGTGACACGTACCGCCTGCCCTTTTTCCTGCATCGCCGAAAGCAATCCACAGAGCGGCCGCACCTATTCGCCACCGGCCCTTTTGATTAATTTTGCAGCTCGCGTCCCGCTTGGCAGGTGTGTAATTACGGAAATGAAAAGGGGGCGGCTGCATTAAAAGTGCATAATGTCCCGCTGCACTTGACATCGGAATGGCATCCATAGATCAAAAGAGTTCTCTCTCGTCGCCCAAGGGCACTTTTCTGCCCTGCTGACATTTACATAAGACAACCACAAACAGATATGGCAATAAAGTGCACAGCTGAATGAAATGAATCTTTTTTTGCGAAATGAGATGAACCCGACTTTCCTTTGAGGGCAGGTTTTCATTTTTCAATAAACCACTGCTCGAATTCTTTGATCAACCCTATTTTTCGATACATTTAAAATGGGAATTTCAAAATATATCTGTTGAGGAAATTAAATTATATTTAGAAAAAAAGTGAAATAAAAAAAGGTGAAATTCTAAAATACTACTAAAACTACAATGCTAGAGTAAGTTGAACTTTTTTATTTTTTTAACTTTTTAAACGATTAATATTTAAAATATTAATATTATCCAAATAATTTACTATTTAAAATAATATTATATTTTATTATCTTTAAATCTTATTTTTAAAATAATATTCTTTTTATTCTAATATAAATTATTATAGAATTTTCACAAACCAACAAACAATTTAATTGATGAGAGGTATGATTTATAAATAAGCAATATGTTTTAAATCTAATTTAAAAATTTGCATGGATTTATTAATCTTTAGATATTTAACAAAATAATTCAGATATCCTCTAGTTCCTCTACTCATGTGCATTAATTATCACAAAACCATCACTTTCATTTATAACTCATAAATTTAGCTTATTTTATTTTGAAGGATTATTAATTTTTGTAATTTACTTCATTCACCCAAGAACAAACATATTTCCTAATCTGATTGAAATTAATAATTTGACAATGCAGAAATTGGTTTAGCAAAATAAATAAATAAAAATAAACAAATCCCAATAGCTCATTTTCAACTTGAACTCTGGAAAATTTTAACCTCGCAACAATACGTGCAACTCGCTACCACTTTTCTCCCAAACGATAAATTTCAACACTATATTTGCCAAATGAAATATTACTCGGACTTTGCCAAAAATTGACAGCCGACTCCGGCACATGCAGACAATTTGTCGCAATGCCGTACAATCATCCGCTTCTCCCTCTCGCACACCCGATGGCTTGTTGATTGAGCATTTAACCAAAACCACAGCAACTGCCCAGTTTAATTTTGAAAATTTGAAGCTTGATCGCGTTTGCGGTCCGAGTGTGGTCATGGGTTGGATGCATTACGGACGAACCCCCTCGCCCACATATATGCAACCCCATCAGACGGTTATATTTGACATGTTTATTTGCAGCGGTGGAGGCGTAATTACATCTCGTTGCATCTGCACCGTAACTGAATCTGTCCGTCCGGCCGTGTTCAATATCAGAGCACCGCAGACATGAGCAATATTAACTCCTTGTTAAATGTATAAATCAGCCGTGCGAGAGCTCAATGATGTCAGAATGAAATAATCGTCCTTCGGCATCCTTAATTTGACTCTCGCTTTGATAATAAATATTAATAAAATTTATTGAGATCATTTTCTCTGTGGCTTGAAAAGGCTCTTTTGTGTTTCTCGTCTGGCCAGTATAGTTTGTTCTCCCCTTGCAGTGAGAGTGAATCAGTCCGAGAGCGAGAAAGGACTCATGACTCTCTTGCCAAATTGTCCTCTTTTTGTTGCGGGACGTAAAAAGTTTATGTGCGCCGCCTGCTGCGGTTTGGGTGGATGAATTTCATTCAAGAGAAATTGTACCAAGAAGATGGCTGTGACTTAAAAAGTAAAAATGAAAATTTCATAGGACAGTCTGTATCTCATTTAATTGGCGAAGCGAGAAGATCGTAAAAAAGTATGAATTTATTTTCTGCAGCTGCGGCCAGTTCATAGAAGCCTCTATTATTTTTCAAAATGAAAACTTTAAATATTTCATACAACTAATTTGAAGTTAAATATTTTATCCTAACACCGTGTAATGTTTTTATGCAAAATTAAAAATAAATTGCAAATAAAATATTTTGAAAGCAGAAAAGTTATTTAAAAATAAACAAAAGTAAAGCAGCTTATTAATTTTTTTTTAAATTTTTCATTAATAAAACTGATTTTTTTTAAATAATTTTTTCAAATTAAAAAAAGTACTTCTTGATTAATTTTTTTAAATTAAATTTTAAATGTATACTCAACTTCTTAATTTAATATTTAAAAAAAAAATTAATTTGATTTATAAAAATACTTTTTTCTTATAACTAAAGGTACAAATGGAAAAAAGTTTTGATATCAATAAATATATTATTACTCAAAAACCTATTGTAAGAAATTTTTTTGAATAAAATTGAAATTATTTAGTTAACCACATGTCAATTGTTTATAAGCCAAACGGCAAAATTCATAACGGAAATAACGAAACCTTTAAAGGAATGTTCTCATCTTTCTTTGTCTCTCTCGCACGCACGCACTTCCCATTTTATCGCCTCTGGAATACTTGAATGTGTTTTATTTTCGCTCTCTCTTCCAGAGATGGATGCGTCCGCCCGAACCGGACAGGGCGATAGCCACACAATGGACTGCCGGCGATGTGCACCACGTACATTAATGCAGATGAGGCAGCCGCACGCGTGAGCACGTGATGCATCATCGGCGTGCCAATCTCGCGCCCGCCGAATCGACACCGCAGCCAGAGTGCATTGACCGTGGTGTGTATTTTGTACACAATACGTGTTTCGCCATGCGGGGGTGAAGACAAAACAACCTCATCAGCGCGGTCTGCCGACATTGTCTCCGAGAGTTGCCACCGACTGCGGGCATTTCGATTACGATCGTTGCGATAAGTATCCAACGACACACAATTGACGCTCGTTTCAAATACAAGGACCATTGTCGCTCGTCTCGCCGTCTGAACGGAGCAGGATGAATTACTACTTTTTAACCAATTTTTTTTTAGGATAAAAATTTCGTGGATAACATCCAGACCTCTGCTAATTTTAAAAGTCGATAATTTTTATATGCAAAATAAAATAACAAAATAGCAGAATTTTATCTACTATTGTCACAATGCTTTATTGCTACATTTTTCAATTTTATTCCTTTCAATAGGAAGATATTTATTTCAAACGATTTATAAGACCACAAAATCATACTGCATCGTTGGAATCAATTTAAACATCATTTATATTACAGTTTCTTTGCAAAAATTTGCTTTTTTTAAGTTACAGTGCTTTAATTTTCAATTGTTGCCGTTTTTTTACAGATCAGAAATCAAAATTGATTGTTTAAATGCAGAGGACTAATTTCAATTGAATTTGAAGAAGGATAGAATTCAAATCTGGTTTTGTATCAATTAATTCCATAAATGCAAGCGGAGACTTCAAGCGATTCCGTAACACTTCAGGAAAGGTGTTGATTTTGAAAAGCCCTCAGCACTCAGTTTGCACGTTCAATACTCGCAACCTGCCTGTTCTTCATCGATGATTGGATGAACTCTAGCTCTGTGAATATTTGATTAATCTGGGCCGTCTCTTTCTGTTTCATCCATTGATGCGCGCAGGGTGGGATCGGTTATTAAAACGCACGGCTTTTGACTTTGTGCAGCCCTCACAAATAATGAAAGGCGTTGTTTGACGTCAAAATAACCTATGAGTGCCTCCGATGAGTCTATGTTTTTAATGAAAATGGCTTTGAAATCGCAAGTAAAAAATATCAAAAGCAGCAATATTGAAGTCGTAATAAATTCAAAAGGGAGGATAAATTATTATATTTTTCGGATCAAATATTCAACATCGTTTTTAAGGGATAGTATTTTATTACAAAAAATGTAAATTCTAAATTGAGCTTGCTATTTTTTGGAAGTCTGTTTCCTTATGAGAAGCCGTCAGAGAACTTTATCCCTGGAAAGGAGAGAAAATATCCGGGCTCATTACATTTCAAATTTAAATCCACTTGGCTGTTTATACATTATTTTAATATTTAGATTGCACGAAAAGAGCGTTTTCTAGCGAATTGCCGAGCCGCGAGAGGAATGAAAAAAAAACTCGGGAAAAATTGGAGCGAGTGACGCTCTCTGTGCTGATGAAGCAGCCGACGTGCTTTTTCGTTTGACAGGATTTTTTTTCAGCTGAGCGATAGTAGATGAGCTGTCTAAACATTTCCACAGCACGGTTTGCTCTCGCGTGAAATTCT